CCCCCAGGAAAGGTCTCTGTGTGCAATTATTGCTGATGAATTGCAATTACAAGTGGTAGATATAGACTAGGAGTGGAATAGATGAATATTAGCACCATTCTAGCATTGAAGTAGTGTTGTAAAGTGCTCGCAGATCAATATGAACTAAAGACACTACATGTTTGGGGCATTTGCTAAATCAGTTGTGTTCAAGTATGTACACATATTAATAATGGAATACTCTTATGGTACTAGCCTAGGAGGTGCTTCTTCTTTAGCCATAGATGCATGAAGGTCAGGAAATCATAAAGGTGAGATAGGATTTAGAACCGTACCCTTTACAACAAGACAACCAATGCGCCAACTTACGAATAGTTCTACTGCTTGAACAGGTTTGTTTTCCTTACAAAGATCATTGCATTCTTACTCTTCACACACGAATATCCACAAATGTACGTGGCAAGAAAATCGATTCCGGCTACTTCGAAGTAAATCTTTGAGACTTCGATCTTGTGTGGAGATGACTTCGGCACTCACAGTATCAATTTGTTGCTCGTATTCTCAAGTTGGGATACCGTTAGTTAGAAAATGGTGAATTTATCAAATCATCCGTGCCGGTATGGTCCGTCCATTATGTGAGGGGTTAAGATGCTGTCTATGGCCGCAGGAATGACGTACACCGGGCACAGGTACAGACGTTGCATCCTGATCCTTCGCTTCCTGTTACCAGTCGAACCATCACCAACACATTGGCACCAGTGTCCTGCAGTGTGCAAGTAGCACTGATGAACGCTTTCATCTTCACGCAGGACGGGAGTTTCATGTGAATTTTAACACGCCATTGCGCATTTCAGGTAGGTCCTTTTAAAGCTTGATCTCATTGCACTTCGATCGTATCTAACTGTATTGATACAAACTGGTACTTGGTGGCAACATTCCATGGCGGGCACTCGCATCTTTCGTAGGCTGCAACCCATAGTTGTTACCGTTGCCTCCACGCACGCCTTAGCATGCAAGAGTAAAGCACTAACATTTAAAATGGCACTGCGACCACGTGGCCAAGACCATGCATTTAACACTACACACAAGTGGCATTCAACCTTCGGAGGATACCTTTGCCTCACTCTATCAAACATGGTTTCTTCATGGTGGTACTGTGTCAAGCCTTAGCCAAAACTACTAATATGGGTGCCGCTGGTGATGGCGGAACACATGGAGCGTGGATATCTGCTGGGGTATACAACCGCAGAAGACCTGAGTGACGATAAATAACTCTCTTCTCTTCACGTTGTTACCAGCACACGAAATGAAGATAGGTCCTGGAAAGTGGCACTGGAGTGTTGAGACGAGAAGTGAGCAGGGTATAATCAGCAGAAGACATTATACAACACACACTGGTGGCGAGTTGCGGTAGCTCGAGATAGTGCTCGATGCACCTAGGTACTGAGCGGTACAGGCAACGCGTGAAACTCCGAGTTATGGAAACAATGCTTCATGTTCCCTTACCTATACCTCACTACTCGGAGTGAGGGTAACATGGATGCAGCTAACGAGGTTCGCCCCCTTGTCGGACATTGGTTGTGAGACTTACCACCTCACCATCGCGGCGTTAGGCGCTGCATCTGCCACCCTGGTATAATCAGGGATAGTGGTGGTCTGGCACGAGCGAAACTTCTCTACGCTGGTTGTGTTTCTCAACACAATTGTATTGCCGGTGGTAACGCGGATGTGCGAACATAACTTACTTTTTCACCTGTATATAACACATTCTCGTACATGTACAATGATGTTCAGGCGATGGGCAATATGAGCTTTGCTTGTACCCATTACCTTTTTTGTCTTTTATAGAAGACGGTCACGTGACTGGGGCCCCTATGCATGAGGTATATGGGCGTGTGCGTAACTCTCTTCCCGAAGGACGGCGATACGACCACGAAGTTAGCAGCTCCATGACTGCTGGTGGTTCCAGCCTCCAAACCAGTTATCCGAGTTCACAATTTCTTTGCATGATCTTTGCACGGTAGACTAAGAAGTATGCAGCACCGTCAGCTGAGAACGCGCTACCCAAGGCAAGCTGTGCGGTAGCCTGTACTCTGTGCCATCGCATAAGATCATCGTCTTCTGAATCTGGCTCCTAGATCCTCGCAACCGATTTAGGTCTAGCCCAGGTGATGGATATCGCAGCGAGTCTGTCGTAATGACGTATTGCCGCGCAGGGGGACACTAGCAAGCTGTGGACACTGATAGTCCACTGAACATGTCTCCTAACATCAGCTTTAATCATATTGGAAGGCCCTGACACCACCTGCGTACTGCAGGATAACATGGTTGCTACATCAACGATACGCACAGGTAATAGCGATGGAGATTGGAGGCACGCAGTTCTTGACATGTCTACATATGCATCTTTCTCCACTACAACCGTGTAGTGTGGACTAACAAAAGCGTTCCCATCACTCTGACTGTAATGTACTGGACACGGCAATGACTAAAACGCACAGCAATTTGTTCAACGATACGACTAACAGGTGTTTTGCTTCGCAAGCCAATCGCTATCCTAAAATATATATGCGTTCCCAGGCAGACATAAATCAGATTGGGAACGCTGTGACGATAAAGACTGTGAGCATTGCAGGTTTGCAGGGCTTGCAAAAACACGGTGTGCTTCAACGATTGTGTACTAAGATTGTGTGGCTAAGGCCTAGCCGTGGTTGAGCGATCGGCGTGGCACGCCTGGAGTTCTCCCTTTCTCCACGGACCATTGGTAGCCGTAGGTACCTTCTCTTGTGTACACATGATATACTACACAATCTCATCGTTTGCATCTCACCATCACAACTATATTATTACTTTACTCGATACAAGGATCAGTACAGTGTAGTAGGTTTTTCATTTCACCCGACGAGAACACACGAAACGCTTGCAGATCACAGCACATACAGTTGACCAGCCTGCAAGCGTGATCTGCAAGCGTGATTTGCAAGCGTCGTGTGGTCTCGTCGGGTCAAATATAAAACCTACTACTACTATTTGACGGACCTATTGAAGTTGGCAACAAGGATTATTGGCGGGGGGGGGGGGTGAGGTGAAGGCAGGCAATACGTACCTAACATTTACTTCGGAGTAATGCAGCGTGCAGGCTGGCACGTACATGGCATACATTACCTATACACATGTACACATACGGCTCTGCATGGCATTATACATAATTCTAAATCAGCGACTAACAGCTGTTGAAACCCGACGATAGCGTTGCTCGACACTGCTAGTTACTGGCGCGACACATAGCACATCAGCAATGCGCATAACTATCCTGACTTATCTGTCACTTATCTGAACAGAGCACAACTGGTACCCGCAGCTGCTAATCGATGTTAATGCATAATTTCAACGTTCGATTGTCCCAGGACACTCGAATAGTATAGGATGGCATTCAAAGCGTCACAGAGCGATTCACAGGTGCGATGATTGTTTCGCTTAACATTTGCTTGGACGTTCATACCGCAGTGGTTGAAAACACCATTGAAAACTTCGTGGTCTGGAATGAAACCTTGCTATGGAGGTGGCGCGACTGTCAGCTGTGGTTGTTTTCCCAGCTCCTAAACCAGCTACCAGTGACATGATCCCACTGCCCCGTTTGGCGTGCGATGGACGCCAAGCCGATTTGTCCGCACTAATATGTAGGTCCACGCGATAATGGAGGTCGTTGGTGACGCGTATGCAAGATAATTCGGGGTGTATGTCTAAACGTTAGCAATACGCTGTGACGGTTGACGCTTGTGAGAGTCTTCACACATGACGGCTGCCGCTGCTTTCAAAAACAAACCTTTTGCTAGATGTATGTCAGGGTGCATCGCTGACTCAGCTGTAATACCTCGCCTTGAAAAAGAACGTGAGATTGTCAGGAGACCAGTTCGGAACATCTCGACGTCTTCTATAGCAGGGCATAGCGTCTTAACACACTAGACAGTCGTGATAATGGGACACACGGGAAAGCTTTATCACAGTAGTCTCTGTTCAACCATATATGAGTATAGCAATTCTTTCACGGGACTTGCCTAGAAGGCAGGAACAACGTTCATGTTGTTGCACGATCCCATGCGTATTCGAGGATGGTTTATTCAACCAATATTTCGAGGGTATAGTGTGTGAGGATGTTGTGACTACCCCATCCTGCGCGGCCTGTTGGTTCCATGGGGTGATTCCAACCAGTTCAAGCACACATCCTGGCCATTCGTTTCCAAGACCCAAGGTCGGTCTGGAGGAGCCGACGGCGCGTCAACGTCATAGCGCTGGCCGCGCGGATTGCCCGCCACGAGATTAGTATGATATAGGCAATCGGAGCAGAGGGCATAGTGGATCCTGGGAGGGACGGGGCGCCGATATGGACACAGGTGCAATGATATATCGGCCATCTTCTCCAGTGTTCAGTAGATGTGTCCATGTGTGAATTGGCTGAGCCTGATGCCAAACCACCTGTGCTTATGTACAGTGTACTAATACTACTATTATCAGACATTCTGCTGCAGCTAGGGGCACAGACCGGCGGAAAGGCCTACTTTGAATCGCTGATAGCCTGTAGCATGAATACTGGTAGCATCCCCGTGCACAGTGGGCAGTTTTGCACTTGTGGCATATCTGTTGCAGCCTTACAGCGGGCATCTAAGCAGTCCCACACGTGCACACGAGAGACCAGATATACATTTACCACTTTCTCATAGTGTGGTCTTCACTGCTGGTGTTGTGGCTTACCTGGACGCATGTCAGTCGTGGTGAGGGCAAGCCTCAAAAGCTTAGCAGCGACGCCGGTCGAGATAGCCACGACGCCGGGGAAGCTGCGTAGGAATCCCAGTTACGACAAGGGCGCATCACACACACACACACACACACACACACACACACACACACACACACACACACACACACACACACACACACACACTCTGAGTAGCGCCACCTGGTTACGGGCAGCCTTGTGACGATGTTCGGGCGCCCTCAACAATAAATAGGCAACGTCAACTTCAGACATTGAGCAGAAGACCTCTCACTTTAATATTCACAAGCGTCCTTGTGGACACGCCAGTTTATTTGACTGATTTGAGAGCGACTTGCAGCAAATTACTTCTGGTCTGCGTTGACAGGAGCTTTGACCCTTTTCTGGACAACAGTCTTTTTCGACTAGCTTCAACATACAGCATAGCAGAACCTGCAACAATGGCTGTCGGTAGGATGTTGTTCCCGCTGTGCTTGGCCATGGTGGCCTTCTTTGCTTCTAAAATCGAGCGAGCGGCTGGACAAGCGCAGTTACCCCACAACCCAGCACAGTACACCCCAGGTGGTGGAGGAGGTGCAGGTCAGCAGCAGTTCCCGGGCAACCCAGGCGGTGGTGGTGCAGGACAGCAGCAGCAGCAGTTCCCGGGCCAGTATAACCCTGGCATGCCGCCATCGGGAATGCGATACTGCGCTCCCGGAGAGTTCTTTTTCCCCGGAACGCAGATGTGCTGCCAAGGCGAAGTTCGCCCGATTATTTCGCCACCTCAGTAAGTCATTCACACGCTCACCACAAGTAGAACTACTCAGGTAGTTTTTCTACACAATTGAATACCATCATGTATGTATGCAAGGAAAGATTCCCCAATACTAGTACGTCTTTGTATGACAACCCTATTGCCATTATGTAGCTGGTAACCTTCGCATTGTCTAAAATGCATGTCATTGTGCGATACATTCTAGTGTCGTTGTCAGGCCTCAAGCACTGTGTATCACAGTGTAATCACGATCATGTAGAAAACACCGAATCCACGCTATCTGACCAAGACATGCGCCTGCACCTGGCTGCACATCCCCGATTGAGCAGTGAGTGAAGGGTTGACCCGAATACGCCAGTACGAGCACACCGTCAAAATAATAGCAATGATGGCAATTGCTAAACACATACGGTAGACGTAAATCGCGAGCACTCCGTCGTTTAGTGATCCTTGATTGTCATTGGACCTGGATGAAGCAGTTTAAAAGTAACCCTATGGGGAATTTCGGTAGACGGCGCGTGTCAGAATGATTGCTTGCGGCAATGGTTAGATTGCGCAGACTCTCAGGAAGAAGTCTCGCCACCGACAGCAGTGCATTACCTGGCAAATGTCGATGGTGTCCAGGTATGCGCTAATTCCCGCTTCCGGATGCTACGGGGTATGTGCGTGTAGCGCACCAAATTAAGTCAATTATAGATTTGTAGCAGAGATGATCGGGATCCCACGCATCTGTAGAGCCGTGTACAATCATGTACTAGTACGATCATGCATTTCTCAACCATGTACGCCGATTCAAGTGGAAGGTCAGAGGCCTCACTCCTCTCCAGCTCCCAAAGCACGACAGCTGCTCGCGTGACATTCTTGGTGGCGTGGAGAGGAGTTAAATTTACTTCTGCCGGATAGCGCATTTAGTCGCACGTCCACAGGCGCACTTTACACACCACATTGCCTCTCTCGAGCTGACACCGGGCCTTGGCGGTCATCACTCACACTGGTCGTGCAGGAAACGCGGTGGTGGGGGCGCAGGTCAGAATCCAAGTGTCACACGCAGCAGTGACTGTGAATCGACACACGTACGGAGATGTACAGTACTGAGTTACTGGAAAGTGAAATGTAGGCCGGGGTTAAATAATTCATCGACATAATTGGCTACCTGGCAATTCCCATGCACTGGTCAACCTGATTACAATTATTGGTTTGTGACAGCTAGCGTGCACGATTGCAGGACGCCGCACTGTCAGTCTCCACAGTGTCGTGCTATCCATAGCATCAGACAGTAGCCCAGTCCCTTACAGGTCGGAGTCTAAAGAAGTGAATAGAAGACTGTGAAAGTAGTACAGTTATCAGTTACCTTGACTGCTGGAGGTGTGTAGAACATGACTGCATGTTAACAATGATTACGTGCGAAATTGTCATTACCCGCTGCTACAATCCACATCGCAAGTGGGTGGTAATGGTGAAGTGCAACCTTTACTTTACATACGGTGCACATACATGTACTCGTAGTATTGACACGAACGTTTCTCTCCCTTATCTAGTCCTAAAGGGATGACAGCTGATAAGAACTTAGAGTGCCGTTCACTGCGGTAGTGATGGGACTTCACTGGGTGCTTCCTTCACTTTAGTATTCGGATGCACCACTGCAGCCAACGAATATTTACCGATTTTCTCATGCAAACAAAGCAATGAGACACTACTACCTGTACATGTACAGTCATGTAAGTAGACAACGAAGTAGACAATCCTCCGGATACTCTGAATAATACATAAGTCAGAGTCGAACGCCAAATCGGACAATTACAATTATGATATAAACATAGCTGCATGGGCAGAGCGTCGCTGGCCTCAAGCGAAGGTCCCTGGTTCGAGTCCTGGTGGTGACAGTCAATTTTTTCTTCAGACGTTTCCCTTTTTCATTCCCTCAACCTATGAATATGCTACAAATAAGCGACGATTGAAAGTGTACGGACTCCCAAGTGCTCATGTCTAGCCACCTACTATGACGGTTGCAATGTGAAATAGAGCTGAGCCACATACATGTACACATCTGAAGACTCTTCAGTTCGTATAAGAATGTTGGTCTTCCCTCTTCTACATTGTACTTCTACCCATGGAGTCGTATAAACCTTTTTTTTCAATTTGCAACTACCCTGTTTGTGCATGTACAGGTATGTCATTGTGTCCCTCTCATTTTTTAACATAACCCAAGCGTGTGAGGCTGTACCATGGAGGCCAATGGTCATCAGCATGAACTCAATACTTTGCCCACCATTAGTTGTGAAGACAAAACATGTACGAGCACCTATATGTACGTCAGCCACTTTGCAAGCATCAGTGAACACCACCATTCCAGGACGCCCTCTTGGCCGATCCACTCCATGTGTGCAGCACAACCATAGCCCAGTGTGGGCTACATGTGCTATTGTAGATGTAACAGTCCTCATTGTTTTAGACTTTTAAAACTGTCTTTACAATGTGACTTACTCTCTCTCTCTTTTTCTCTCTCTCTCTCTCTCTCTCTCTCTCTCTCTCTCTCTCTCTCTCTCTCTCTCTCTATCTCTATCTCTCTCTATCTCTCTCTCTCTCTCTCTCTCTCTCTCTCTCTCTCTCTCTCTCTCTCTCTCTCTCTCTCTCTCTCTCTCTCTCTCTCTTGTTCATTTCCTTTTCTGCTATTAGGTTTGCTCAATGTTGCGAAAATGAGGTAATCGACAACAGAACTGAGAAATGCTGCATGGGCGTGGAGCGTGCACAGGCCTTCCAGGCATGCTGCGGGCCCGACGCGTATGATCTACATAACCAGGAGGCCTGCTGCAATAATATCCAGATCTATGAGCCACATCAGGAGATCTGCTGCGGCAGTGGCGTGTACTCAAGCTGGACGCATATCTGCTGTAACAACAGACCAGTCGCTACATGGGCTGGCGCGCCAGGCAGTATGCAGTGCTGTGGTCGTAATGGCCAAGCAGTCAATACTGCCACACAAGATTGTTGCAATGGTCAGCCAGTGGATAGAGCATCCCCCACACAGCGATGCTGCAATGGAAACGCTGTTTATAATCCACAGACGCAATCTTGCTGCCCAGGTGCAGGTGGGAAGATGTCCGTGAAGACCGGCGCCACCTGCTCCTCATCCGCACAGGCACGCCCTGCACCTCCAGCCGCGGCCAAGCCAGTGGCACGTCCCGCTTCCCCTGCCCAGCCTGGTCGCCCTACCCCAGCAGCACCTGCAGCACCTGCGGCTCCCGGCAACAGTCAGACATCAGGTGGTGGTAATGTGGCGCAGGGACAGGCAGCGGCCATGGAACAGCTGCGAGCGTTCATTATGAAGATGATCCAGGGCGGACAGGTTCAGCCTGGTCAGATACCATGGCAACTGATTCAGATGCCAGGGATGCAGCTGCCCGGAGTCTCACCAACAACAAAGCCAGCCCAAGCCAAACCAACAACCAAACCATCCGCACCTGCAGGCCGTGTGGCTCTCCCAGGTCGTGCTGGTCGTCCTCAGGCGCGCCCTGTCGGTCTACCACCCAGACCTGGAGCACCCAGGACGCGGCCAGCCCAAACTAAACCCAAGACCAGCCCTACACCAGTGATAGGCCGCCCTCTGCCCTCAATGCCCAAATATCCCGGTCTTGTCCTGCCAGGAAAACCCAGCGCTCAACCTTCCCTGCCTGGCACACTGCCAGGAAAACCCAGCGCTCAACCGTCCCTGCCTGGCGCACTGCCCGGGAAACCCAGCGCTCAACCTTCCCTGCCTGGCGCACTGCCCGGGAAACCCAGAGTTCAACCTTCCCAGCCTGGTACACTACCCATGCCAAACAGAGCAGGAATTGAACCCACCAAAGCATCTACAGAGGCCGCTCGAGGTCTCTCTGGTAGAACCACTCAGAATGCGGAAGCAACGACTGCGCCGGCAGTGGTAGAGGGAACAACAGAGCCAGCCAACAACGCTGCTGCCGCTGCTGGAGCTACAAGCGAGTTCGCAGCTGCAGCTACCAGCCAAGCAGGCAACAGCGCAGCTAGAGTCGGACCAACCACCACCACTGCACCACCGGTTGTTTACCCAGGTGAATTCTTCGCCGGAAAGAAGTAAAGACGTGATCTAAAGCTTGTGAAGAAGTGCGTCGAGAACCAGCCAGTGCCGAGTGCTATGGCACTGAGGGGAGAATCGATGACCAACCATTATGCAGTGTAAATGTGCTGGAAGCAGTGGCACAGATCGTCTCCTTACCGTTTTGTCTTGTTTGTCACAACACACACGCACACCGGAATGACAAGTGAAAGCAGGTCACTTGTGTTAGCTGGCAACATGGCACAAATCGTGTGTGTGTGTGTGTATGTCTTGTTCGTTTGTGCGTGTGTGTGTGGGTGTGCGCGCTAATAATTTAAACCCGCTCTTCGCCTTCGGTTATCCTACCTCCACTCAGAACGCAGTTAATGGTTTTATTTCTACGTGCACATAATTATAATGAAAATGAGAATCTTCATCTTTACCAGTATTACCTAACTTACTGTAAAATGTTAGCCTTGGCTATGTGAATCCGGAGTCACATGCTTAACCTCCTGCCTTATTAAATATTATATTTACCATGATTCTAATATTGATTTCCGATACATTGGAGTCTGCTGATTTTAAAAACACAGTAGACGATCTCAAGAATGTAGGACTCGTCCAATTACGAGACGTATCGGTTTTTTGAGCAAAGAACTAATACTCTATCACCTCCAACTTCCAAAGTGTGCGTTTCAAAGGGTGGATCACGGAACAAATACTGGAGAGCGTTGAAAACATAGCAATATGTTACATTCAACAGAGCTCACACTCACAGCCTCCTTGCCTTGCTGCTGTCGTCAAATTTACGCTGATAGTGATAGTGGGTGTCAATGAGAGCATGGGCATTGTATTGGGCACAATAGCGGCCGGAAATATACATTCCACTTGCTAACGATGACCCGCGGATCCGAAGATAGACACAAATGGAAGGACTTGGAAGAGTAAGGTCTCCTGCGGTGATATACGTTTTCAGAATTTAGGTAATGAACTAGATGGTAGAGACTCTTTGTATTCCTTGACGGTTGACAGGCACCCTACAAACCAAAACTGCACTACTTTTATTCGAGGTGAATGATGGGCCCCCAGACTTGAATACATGTAGATGAGGCTTTCTGCAGAGTTGCTGTGCGCTCTCAAGCTTAGATGATTAGGAATGAACATTCGAATATTCTGCAGGTATTTCGGTCAGAAAAGTAAGTGAATTCAAGCGATGTTGTTTTGACTGCAGCCAAATGCCAAGTATAGTGCATTATTGTATTGTGTATGTTATATATTTTTAATTTGACAAAAAAGGATTCCCTAAAATAATGCTCTTCACTTGTCGAGGGCGTTTCCTGATATCGCTTGAATGATGAAGCGAAAGACAGGTGAATACTAGCATGGTACATTCTCTGGTGAGCTCGTTCTCTTTCTCAGTTTGGTGCCGCTCAATTTGGTACAATCCGGTGGTATGACTCAATGGGACGATCGTACACAATGGCAATTTGAAGTTCCTTGGTGACAACCAAATCGCCGTGCAGACATTGTTTTCAGTTCTCAAAATACATCACATGTCGGATGATGCCATAAAGGAGAAAACGGATGATGGAATCGCACCCAATCATATTATCATAGCTCGTAGTCTTTGGTCTTTGTCGTTAGCGCGCACGGATGCTCCACACTGCATGTTTCGTGTTGACAGACGACATACATGTACAGACGGACCATTTATAGATTGTCTGCGCAACTTCTATACTACTAAGTCCTATAGCCATGTTCAACAAGAAAGTTGTAATGGGAGAACACCGGTTGTTCGCTCGTAGTATCTTTTCAGTTCGAAATGAAGTTAAACCGGTTGTGAACATGACTATACAACTGCATGTTGAATGGAAGAAGTTCATTTTTCACCTGACAACCCCTCTATTTCCGTGGTATTCACTCATTAACCTTTTAAAAGCGGACCCATACGTGCGTAGACCTTTACGCATTCAATGGTTGATAATTGTCAGGTCGCCCGTCATTCTCTCCAGTTTTCCTGTGTATTGTGGAGAACGTCGGTAGTGGATAAGGAGGTAACCACATCCCTTCTGTCGTGAAGTGTCTTCCGTGTCTGTCTGAAGGCCAACCAGCTACTCGTCGGTACTCCTCAAGCAAGGTCCACGTTGATCACTCGCACTACAAATTACTCAAGTGATGTATGTTAGTGGTTCTTTACTGAGCATTTCCAATGCTATCTATCTCGGCCCTGCATGGTGCGAATGTCGATCTGCCGATTCCAGCCTGTTCTTCCAGCAAGGTCACTGGTGACCACTAACACGCTACTCCCCAGTCTAGTGATGTACACATTGCTGGACATATATGTGACAGTAGTTGGTCTTCGTCAAGCCCTCACAATGCTATTTTGTACCCTGCTTGGTGTATCACCGATCTTCGAGTAGCTCACGTTTGGCGCTCTGCTATTCCACACCAAGATCAGGTGTGCTGAGTGACAGCAATCTACTTATCCCCACCACGGATGCTTGACTTCTTGACAACGCTACATAATGGTACATGTCTTTACAACAATTACATACGAGTGGTTAGTCCAGTTTCATTAGGAAAGGGTCAGCTGGTAGCGTATTGAGGATGGTATTTCGACTCAGGACCAACCTACAATAAGCTATATGCATGATGTAGCTTGGCAACTTGGCTGCAATGCCAAATACTGGTAATACTGGCAATAGCACTGCTGTGCCCTAGTCGTCATTGCCACGGATGTTCCAGCTGATCACATACAAAGCATGATGTCACGTGTCAGACGTAGTGAGGACTCGTGACGTCAGTGGGGGGTCACAATAGACCATGTTCCGTCACGTCGTTGGATACAACATCGCAGGTGAACCTTTGCTTGCCGACATCCGCCTGTGTACATGCGTGCCTCGCCTCCATACCAGGGTCTTGCAGCGGCCAGCAAACACACGTCTGGCGGCGATCGAGTCTTCTTGCTGCAGGTGGGCAAGAAAGAGAACATTCTGGTGATGCCGCAATGGACTGATTCTTCTTTGTTATCAAACGAAGTTCATCACGCCCTACACTATACATACATGTACACTCGTATTCCATTGTACCTCTGGATCGAGCCAGCGCAAATTGCTTTCAGGTACCACTAGTACACTCAAGCTGCTTCACCAACTTGTACACTTGTAGAAGGTGTTTCCCATACTAGTGTTCACTCGGATTGCGAATGGGATTTTCGGTGTTTGGCCACTTTGTGGTGGGTCTGATCTACTCACCTTCCACCGCTTTAGGAGCTGCATCTGCGCCTTGATACACAGAGGGAGGTGGCGTCCCTACGGATGCGAAAGTCTAACGCGAACCGTGAATTTTTCAATTTTCTTTTATACACTCGGATTGAAAGAAAGCATACTGTGTGGTGGAACAGTGTACATTGTAGGTTTCTACATTTGCGATACTTTGCTTTTGTCGTCAACACCGCGATAAGAAAAGGAGACCGTAACATAGAGGACTACAACACGAGCATAACAAACCTATCAGACAGGAGTACATGACATTGTGCAGTGAGAGATACCACAGTTATCTTGATGCTGACAGCCTGATCTGACAGAGACTATCATGAATGGAGTTGTCATTGTGTGCAGATTGTAAAGTTTCATTTTCTTTTTCTTTTAAATTGTTTGAAGCTGCAGGAAGTCTCACCACTGCTACTAAGTTTAAATTGTTTGTTTGTTTTTGTTTTTGTTTTGCTTTTGCTTTAGTTGTTGTGTCAGGCCAGTAATATCATGTTCTGTGATTGCCCGTATAAGAGGGTTATTCAACAGCCTGGGAGCATTGGAGACCACCAGTACTCCTCGTTTACAACTTTCGAGATACCATACCACGAACAGTGAAAAACGCCTTGAACCTTGCTCATCGGACACAGTTTACAAGTATATTTGAAAGCATGGTTAACAATATGGCATCATAAGGCATGCTGATGGGGTTCATTCCATGCATATTGTGATGACAATGTACAGTACCATTGTACAATACTCCAAAGTACATGTATACATGTAGGTACTCATAACTAAGTCATAAGTTTGAGGGAGTTAAAACGGAAAAAGTCCAAAACAATTGACTACCATCAGCTCGACTGGAACCAGACACCCTCGTTTTGGACCAGCGATACTCAACCACTAAGCTACGGTGTAGTCGTCCCAAAGCAGTCACACTGTATTCGAATTTTAACTAGAATTCGGGTACGCGAAATTCATGTTTCGATCATGCCCTAACATAATGCTTAGGTGATCATTTCATGTTGTTTTCTCAGACTGCCGGTGTGGTGTCTAGGTGTATTCCATGCCCTCCGGGTTACAGGAACTCCCCCGCCATGGCCATGCTAAGACAAGTTAGTATTAAGATTCAGGCAAGTCCCAGAAGAGCGGAGGAGGGGGCAAATGCGTAGAGGTAACCACCGACCCTTGACGAGGGAAGACATCGACCCTCTACGCATGTACGGTGGCTTGGGCGCATCTCCTCTAGTTTTCTCTTCCTCTAAACTATCTCCGTGTACGTTAACTGAGAGACCGAGTCCGTCCACTGACGAGCCACTCCAGTTCCTGTGAGACTTTTGAAACGAATTGCTCGCAATTGCGTTCCTCCGATGCTAAATTTAGAACACTGGTGCACAATGTGGAGCCGTATTGCTTTTGGTTCAGAACGTCTCTTTGCATGTCTCCACTAGCCGTCCTGGAGGCACGCTCCAGGCAAGCGCGTATACGCAGCGCTAGAGATGGAACATTTGCTTGCCGTCGGAGAATGATGTTCGAGCTGCCAGAACGATGTTACCTCCTTGGTTCTCTGTCTCGGCCAACTACCGTTACAACACTGCTGTTAGTTTCGTTTAGACAGTCGTCATGCAGTACACACAGGTACATTGCGGCTCGCTATAGCGTTGTGCGTTTTCCGTACCCAGCTCAGCCAGCCAGGCTGCACCAAGCAGATAAGCACACCACACACATGTAGCTACATGCCACGTTGGCTTTTCCGGGAGAGTTTCCAGGCATATAAGATGGTCGAGGAGTGCGTTCCTATCCCTAAAATTTCATTTCGTTCGCTCTCCAGTTGAAAAGGTGTTTCAACATCTTCTTCACGCTCACTACCAAGGGACGTTGACGTTCTTATACGTTTTCGTGGGGAGAATACTTCACCAAGAGAGATCGAGACGGCTACGAAAAGAAGATGGAAGGTCCAAAGGTGTTGCTATCTGTGTCTCTCTGTATGATCGTCTGTTGTAGTTATGGTCTAGCACAACAGCCTCCCCAGGTTCGTTACGTCCCCGTGCCATATGCCCGAACCGCGTATTGTGCCAATGGTGAACAATATGATCCCATGGACCAGATCTGCTGCCAGGGTGTAGTTCAACAGTTGACAGGTCCTCCGCAGTAAGTCCGGGGCAATGATGGGGATTAAACCCAATCTAATCAGAGTACGATCTTCCCCTCCTAATAACTGTATCTGACTGGAGTTTTGCCTTGTGCCTAGAAGGGAAGTAGCTAAACCGTTTCATCTAACACTTCAAAGTAGTATGTAAGATTTTTCTGTAAAACCCTAGCTATATCGCCTAGAAGGGAAGTAGCTAAACCGTTACATCTATTACATCCTCTTTGTATGGAAGATTTTTTCTGTACAAATCCTAGCTATATCAAATACATTAGGTTCACGATAACGCTAAACCTGAGTGGTTTGAATATCGCGATCAACACCAAAGGTACCTTCTTCCAGCCACCGCCATGATATGAGATTCCTTTCCTCACATTCGTGCCATGACAACTCTCCTAACCTAATGCCTGATGAATAGAATGTACTAGTAGTAGTTGTTAGCGTTAACGATTTTAAAACATTCTATTTTCACTGTTGAAACCTCCACAATAGGCTCTGGCCTTTGGGCCAAACTGAGTTTGGGGTTTCCCTTCAATACCAATACAGAACTGGCACGATGCGCAAAGTCGCGTTGAATGAACCAGCATGGGCAGAAGCAGGTGGTATTGATTCAGTGAGATGCTCTGTGCCAGAGGAGACCAGAAATCCCTGAACACGTTGTGATTAACGTTGTGTTGCCGTTGTGTGTCTGTCCCTCTTTGTATTTAGTGTATCTGTGTGCTGCAATGGAGACGTCATCAACAATCTCACAGAGAAGTGCTGTAGAGGGCACGAGCGTGCCAGAGCCGATCAAGCCTGCTGCGGTCCGGAGGCCTATGACCTGTTTAGCGGAGAGCTGTGCTGCGGAAGCCGGTATATCTATGAGCCTGGCTTCGATATCTGCTGCCACGGCTACGTGGCGCCGGCCGAGAATCACATCTGCTGTGAGAAAGGTCCAGTGAAAGTCGCGCAGGGCGCACAGGCCTCATCGACGTGCTGTGGCTGCGGAGCGGTGAATTCCCAGACAGAAATGTGCTGCGGCGGCCAGCCCATCAGTACGAGCTCCAGTACGGAGGCATGCTGCAATGGCGACACAGTGTACAACCCTACGAAACAGGTGTGCTGCTCTGAAGGTGGCTCCATGACCGTGCTACAGGGAGACACGTGCAAGCCAGACAGACAGACAGCCAGGGCTAATGCCAACACCAGAATCAATTTGAATCCTTTGGGCAGAAGAAGGAAATGACGTCAATGGGCTTACCAAAATTGGATTGAACAATGTCGCGTCGGTACCGCTAATGCAACAAGCAACCTGCTTCATGAACATAACAATGTATATGTACGTGTAATTGAATATTCATTTGTAGAAGACAAGCACTATACTCGTGTAGCATATTCGTGATTATACCTTTCTCTACCTTTCTCTACCTTTCTCTATGATCTTCTCGCTGTGGATCTGTCGCCGCCCTTCATGCACTCTGCTTTGGGTTCATCCGTTAATCTATAACACTATATTGACTATTCCTCACTGAACCTCCACACTGCTCAGTTCATACTTGGTAACAGTATTTGTTACACTCACCTCAGTCCCATTGTCGCAGGTTCCATCTTTTCAGATAGTATCAGCAGCTTGATGGCATAATCCAGCATCCATATTAGTTTAGGTCTGGTTACTATTTTGAGGTCATTGAAATGAAAAGTAAAATGATGTATTCTTACTTGGCTAAGGCCTATAAGGAGTGGGATAAATTATTCTGACCAAACTGAACTGCAGAGCTGCATCGAGATTCTCAATTTTCACTGCATACACATGAAGGAAAGAGAGAGAGAGAGGACAGACTGGAAATTTTCGTACCTGTAAGTTTCACGCTGAGGTGATCATCAGACACCTTAAAATAAAATGCTGAGGCTTATCGTTCCTAAGTATATTTCTGCTCATGTGTGAATCTTGGTGCTGAATAAATGGTGGTTGTGATTTGAGTAGACACCACACTACGCGATCTGGCAAAACACTAAGGTGTTGTCACGCGGTCTTCTTGGCTGGTGTGTGGGATATACATGTACTAAGCACTGATACATTCAATTTACTAATATCAGTCTTGACTGTGTAGACAATCTTAAAATAATTATATGTGTGTGGAGAGAGAGAGAGAGAGAGAGAGAGAGAGAGAGAGAGAGAGAGAGAGAGAGAGAGAGAGAGAGAGAGAGAGAGAGAGAGAGAGAGAGAGAGAGAGAGAGAGAGAGAGAGAGAGAGAGAGAGAGAGAGAGAGAGAGAGAGAGAGAGAGAGAGAGAGAGAGAGAGAGAGAGAGAGAGAGAGAGAGAGAGAGAGAGAGAGAGAGAGAGAGAGAGAGAGAGAGAGAGAGAGAGAGAGATAGAGAGAGCGGGAGAGAAAGGGATACATGGAGAGTGAGATGAATAGAAAGGAGAGAGGAAGGGTGTCATGGTAAGGCAGCCAAGTCGTGGCGGACGGCACTGTAGATTCTTCGGTAGTCGGCATAGTTGTACAAGTACCTCGCGATCATCGGATGTAATGGCGATACATGGTATTTATCGCGGGTGTGTGGCTTCCTGGTTCATAGCCAGCCCGGAACCATGGTAACTAGGACACTTGAACACAAGGCTAGTGTATATCTGCACACATATGAACCCGGTGAAGTCCCCGCTAAGTGTGGAGATACATGTACATGATATAACCTAACACTGGTTAAAAACCAGCATTAGATTCATGCTGCCAATCTAGCAATATACATGTACATGTAATTCCTGCATGCAGCGCATCATCCTTGAAGAATCCCCATGCAGCTGCAGAACTTGGGTACGATGCACATTGCATCAGCACTGTGCGAACACTTACACAAAGGAGTTTCTGTAAGGCGTAGAGATCAGCTTGGAGAGCTGCACCTATTACATAAGTACATTATGCACACGTGCACATAGATTTGGGTACAGAATCGCGATATGATCATAATCGCCGCGATCACTTTGAAGCTAGCAGGGTCAGTAGAGACGGGTGAAGTGAGCTGTATTGCCGGTGCCCAAAGGTGGGTTCACACCCCAGTATGGCACCTTTCCCTTGTCTAACCCACAACTGGCACAAGACAAAGTGAATACTGTATCACATGTAGTCATACTGGCCGAAGTTTAAGTTTAAAAGAAATTAAAAAATTAAAAACGCCAGCATGGTGCTATGCAGCATGGTAGGAATAGAAGGAGAAGAGAATGCCAGTGCAATGATGTGCGTAGGTTAGCATACCACGACCCTGACACTACCGACAAGCCCTAGGCGTAGGATCCTATGCGCTATTGGCTAAGACTTTCTGACTGGATCGGTTTTATGGATACCCGTCAGGCAAGAATTCCATCCCTTGGGCCATCTATACGAGTCGTGCCTGGGTCCCAAATGGATACAGGGAGGAAGAGGCCGATGCAGGTCGTTTCAACACTGCGTTTGGGCAAAATGAACCATTGCTGAACAGTCTTGACAACCGTTCAGCAACCTTCCCAGGCTAGGTTAGTTTCCTGGCACAGTTGCAGGCAGCGCTCAAGAAAGGAAAGAAGGAAGGAATCATACTGATTGTGTCTGGTTTCCTTAGAAGACACTTAACCGTAAGCCATGAGAGTGACTCGCGTTAGGGATTACTGCCTATGGTAACAAAGGAACGATAATGCGTCTCAATAATGTAGCCCTGCTCTTCCTTACATATCGTGTACTACATGTAGTACCGTGTTTTTGTGTCACTGACCTGGTCGATTGAGTGTGATATGAGCCGGGTCTTGGAGCTAGCGACTTTCTTGCGGTCGACCATATGCAGCTGAGAGTGATACGTGAGCGCGCGGCTGCATCTAACACGAGGGACGTGTGAGATGCTTAGGGGGATCTTGGCCAGCAGATACAGCGTAGAGCTGTCGTGTTCCACACGCTTCTCATCACTCATTGGGGACCGTATACAGTAACACGTCACACGTAGATCGGAAAGATGGCGAGCCTCATGCTCACATACTGACAGCAGCAGAATCTGATTCACCCTCGAGACGTATACAACGCGTATTTGGCGAAGGAATTCGGTGATACAGGCTCAGGTCGCTTGGAAACCTGGCCACGTATGATACGGCTGTCGTGTATGCTACTAGTATCCATGTGCTGGATCCATGGGGGTATTCTTGCTCCATGGACCATGGCCACTGTGGGTCAGAGAGGAGAAGCTTGACAGTTAACTAATGCCTACTCAACAGAGTACCTCAACATTTTGCACGCAGCGGGTCTAGACTACGTCAGGCTAGCTATCTGACAGGAGGAAGGGCGACCCCTGGAGGATTTTTGTTGTGGGGCTAACGAGGCGAGTGGCCATGTCACCATCTACCCTCTCGAATGCATCGCCTTTCATATACCCGAACACATGCACCTGACCTGCATGTATGCAGGGCTAGCTTGTTACTGGGTGCTGCATACAGCTATAATCACCTGGACGATTATTATGACGAACGCGAAAGTGACGTAGTGTTGTCTGGGCATCAACCAAATGAGCATCCGCCGAAAACGGAAGCGCCAGCAGGTGATTTGTAGCTCTCAAACTCAATCTGCCTATAGTCGTTCTTTACGTTTCAAACATGGACCTGTCAGCGGGACAAACTGCAATTTGCCCATGCGCTATCCTTGTTCGCTTGTACGATCGCGCTTGCTAACCTAGAGCCGTGGTATAAAAACTGCCGTTTCGATCACAAACCTTCATTGACTTTGCAGCTGAACGAACTCCGCTTTTAATATTTTTTAGTGACGACCCGAGAGACAGAAGGCCCGAGCGTCTTTTTAACCTGCAATTGTTCCTTTCTAAAACTTAACTAATTTCATCAGTGTCCTATTCTGAAATTCACCATAGAAGGGAGTTGGAAATGAATTCCATAATATTGATCGCTTCTTTTCTTTGCGTGCTTGTGGCGAGTCCATTTGCGCACGGGCAACAAGGAACCATTCTGGGGAAAATGCCCTCCTTAGCTCCCATGCCACCTAGTCCTCCCTCGGCCTCCCATGCAAAGGTTAAACCCACCATCAAGGCACCACCAGCTCAGGGATCGCGACCGATAACTGCGAAACCTCAGCCGCCGCAACAGGCTCAACCTCAGCCTCCACAGTCCACGCCCGTCCAAAGCAAACCAGCTACTCCGCAGCAGCCGCCCCAGCAAGTTGTACATGTACCAGTGGCAGTGCCGCATCAGCCAGCCCACCATCCACATCTCGTCCTCTGTTCAAATGGAGAGTACTACGATCCAGCTATCCAAATGTGCTGCCACGGCTCGGTGTCTCTTCTCAGATCCCCTCCACAGTAAGTTACTAGTAGTTGCTTTACTTCTTGACGTAGCTTGATATACATGTACATGTATGCTGTAAGACCACGCCATGAAGTAATTGAAAGGCCTGAAGTGTCAGGCAGAGTAGAATATGATTAAATATGAACACCTAATACAGTACATTAAAAGGCAGTAGCTGGCGTTGCCATGCACTTGTACCTTTACATACGAGATGCAATCACGACACACACACACACATGTTCCCTGGACAGTTGTGCGGGAGCTTACAATATCATTTTATCTTAACAGTTAAACTACCTAAACATCACGTCTTTTGACAACTACATTGTAAAATTGTGCTAACGAAGGCCAATGTTCTGACCTGGTGTTTTGTGCTCTTGCGAATGCCATTGTCTGCGCAGATTCGCCGCGTGCTGCAATGGAGAAGTGGTGGACAATCGCACGGAGAAGTGCTGTATGGGTCATGAGCGTGCTGCCTTTGACCAGGCCTGCTGTGGTCCGGAGGCGTACGACATTCTACAGGGAGAGAAGTGTTGTGCAGATCGGTATATTTACGAGCCAGGAATGGATATGTGCTGCAAGAACTTCCTGGCACCCGCCCAGGGTCACCTCTGCTGTGAGAAAGGCCCAGTACCGACGACTGGTAACAAGGCAGTGTGCTGCGGATGCGACTCTATTGACGGTGCTACGCAGGTCTGCTGCGGTGGTCAGCCAGTGGCCATCGACTCCCCCAAGGAGGCGTGTTGTGCGGGCACGACAATCTACGATCCTCGAGAATCCACCTGCTGTTCAGTGAGCGGACTCATGCGCGTCGTACAAGGTCCGTCCTGCCGAGAAGCTGCCAATACCAACCAGGCACCGGCTAGCAGCCAGCCTCTGATGGGTCCGTGAACGAGAGTACCTGATCAGGAAATACAACTTGACAGACAGCGACATTGGCTGGTATGCTTAGGTCATAGTACAGACGATGAAAAACTGTACTATATAGAGATGCCTTACTTCAATACAAGTCTATGCCACTATGGGCTGCCCATCCCATGATGCTGACACTATGTGAATATAGGTGATCTAAGGCCATGGCGCACACCAATTATCTTTAACCCTCACTACAGGGACGGACATTCGTCCGGTAATCTTGTTAAAACCAGGTCCTTTGGTCTATATCGATCTGGTTTCCTTTCTAAAAATAAGACACATCGTTTTAATGACATTGAGTATCCTTACAAGTACATGTCATACAGTGTACATGTGTCCTTTGTTACGCAAGTAACTCACTCCACCGACCCGATTTGTTCCCCTCTGTCAATTATTAACACCGATATCACTCAGAGACATTGATACTCCTTCCTATCACGTGTCATTGTTAGTCCTAACCGTGCACGCACGCACGCATGGTCAGGAGATGTATCAACTCAGAGATACATGTACTGTGCTGTCACGTATAGTGAGGATGCGTGACAAATTAGGAGGTACATGTAGCCGTATTAAAGGGTACAGCATTGTAAGCTTGTGTTGCGTTGTTGCCTGGATTAGGCTTACAAGTTACAAGTTACAACACAACGCTGTCAAAAGTACAAATCCTCAGGACTTGTTCACATTAACCCTGACAAGACTCATTGACCTAACATGGAGGCTGCAAAACGTCCTTTTCCTCAGCTAGATGGATCTCACTTCTAAAGCTTGCCAACTGTCATGGCGTCAGACTGCCATGAGCGAATCTAACTTGTGAGCCATGATCTGTGTTATGAACTAACTTGGAGAGAAAAATTGTAACAGGCTGTGCATGATGACAAGCGGAGTCTCAGTCCTATCAACCAGTCACGGTGGCTCGCTGCAGCACCAGAGTGTATTACAGTCCTCGCCCAGTGCTTAGTAGTCACGTGTAACATGGGGCTTTGTAATCATTAGCACTTCCGTGAGAGGGTCTGGTGTTTATTTGTACAATGTAGTAAAACAAACTTGATTAGGGATCAACTTAAGGGTGGCGTTCCCACGGCGGATGCGGAAAACTCGGCTTCCAGCCGAGTCTCACGCGAACCGTGAAATTTATTTTTTATTTTAAGGACGATATTGTATTACAGCCTGGGCTTGCAAAGTATAGCTTGACTGCTGGTTAAGTCAAGCTATACTTATAGCTGGTTCAGTGGTTTGGAAAGGTGAAAGGGTCAAGACTGCCCTCGTGGGTAAACCGGCCTTACCATCAGCCTCTGGATACCCGTAAAGTGTAGACACGCCACCGCCGCTGTCATTGTCAGACGGATGCACTCATACAGGGATGCTGCATGATGGCTCGGGGGTCGCTTTCCCCTAGCAGAGGTCAGAATGCGAGTGACAGTAGGTCAAGACGATAATCGATCAAAACACACACCACCTACAACGTATAGAGCTATCCTGGCTTGGGGCAATGAAAGGGGAAGATACATCACTGCGTTATACCAGGTATCAGCCTTGGGTTGTGTTGGCCAGAGATATAAACACGCTCTCAACTCGAAACTTCCTGATTATTTACCTGTCACTAGAAAAATGATTCAATTTGGGCCTACAAAAGCCGGGTTCGACAAAGCCTCATTATAAAGTTGTAGTAACAGTGTCGGCGACCAATTCATTATCAACGGTCAAGTAAAGTTAGTTTGTATGGGCAATTGTGGCACTGTACACTGTGCCACTTATACTAAGTTATAGCATTGGCCACCACTAACTAATTACTTACAAGGTCACGGTCACTGCACGTACTGGCAGTGCTGTGGCAGCCACATCATGACATACTCAGTTAGAGTCAGTACCATGTTTCACACCAGGAAAGCGCAGTATCAGTATCACGTCTCCCTGATTGCCATCGTTAATATCATGTGTACTATGATCCATAGCACAGGTGCCCAGGATCAGTACCTCAGTGTTGCTGTACAAGTACTCCGGTGCTGGCCAATGAAGAACGTTCATTCACCATTGACTGATATCAGGGAGTCGTATTTTACGACGCCCACAGCACCCGATCCCTAACACATCGTGAGTCACAGGACGAAGATGTGAAATCACTATAGCAATTAGTACCTCAGTACCTCAGTGTTGCTGTACAAGTACTCCGGTGCTGGCCAATGAAGAACGTTCATTCACCATTGGCTGATATCAGGGAGTCGTATTTTACGACGCCCACAGCACCCGATCCCTAACACATCGTGAGTCACATGACGAAGATGTGAAATCACTATAGCAGTAGTACTTCACTGCTACAGTCAGCCATGGATTTCAAACCCTACTCCATGCTTTTCGGCTAGTGTGTTTCTGTGGTATAGCGGACTGAAGAATAGTAAACGTGTTTTGCAATATACATGTATGAAGCTATTTTGTATAAGGGCCCATTAAGGGGTCGTCCATAATTATCGAACTTTTTTCACGAAACGAAATAATTTCGTTATGGGGTGGGAGGGGGTTGACCAATTTCGTTTCAGAAAACTTCGATACATGTACATGGCCATAGGAGCAGTGACACACTTGTGACTTTTGTTGTATATGCATGTATATGTCAACCATTTTTTACGTTCTGAGGGGGAGGGAGGGGTTGGGTCTAAACTAAAATAATTCGTTTGGTGAAAAAAGTTCAATATTTACGGACGGCCCCTAATAGTATGTTCCCATGCCGTTTTTGCTTTGGTGTAGCCCTGAGGTTGATTTGCTTATTTATTTCTACCCTTCCTCTCTCCGTACTTCTGCCCCCCCCCCCTCTCTCTCATTCCTTCTGTCGTCCACATGTATCAAAGGAGGCGAAATCGCCTGTTTGCGGTGCGACGTTAAATCTGTCCCCGGGGAAAATTGCGATTCCGCGGCCGCGTTTTTTTCCGCGTTTTTTTGCGATTTTTTAAAAGACCGCGTTTTCCGCGATTTTCCCCGCGGTTTTGAACTTTTTTGTTACACTACACGTACACACAGTGCACTGTTCGGTCAGCAACGTCTCATCGTGGCGGCTTTTTACTCAAATATGACGAGTGCTTACACCAGAGACTTGTAACTGATTGATTTCACTACATACTCACTGAAAATTGCCGCACATCAATATTATTCACCGCATATTTACCGCAAATTCACCGCAAATTATGCCATATTATGCCGCGTTTTTCCCCGCGTTTTTTGCGATTTTTTTCCGCAATTTTCCCCGGGGACAGGTTAAATAAACTTCTTCTACAACAACAACAACAACTCCACCACTGCATAGCACGTTCGTACAAGTACAAGTGATACATTATAAGGATCATCAGCTCAGGATCGAGGATCATCTGCTGGGATAACAGCTACACAATAGCTCAGTGGTTAGAGCATAGCTGGCCTCAAGCGAAGGTCCCTAGTTCGAATCCCGGTGGTGATAGCCAATTTGTTTCTTCAGACTTTTCCCTATTCCATTGAGCTCTCAACCCATGAAAATAAAACCATCAGTGTGTAATTTCGGCCAGTATGACTACAACCGTATTCACTTCGTCTTGTGGGTTAGACATGGGGAAGTTACCATACTGGGGTGTGAGCCTGCCTCTTGGCACCGGGAACTAATAATAATATATACTTACAGTGTTTGACAGAAGCCAGCTGTTCAGTGCTTCAGCATACTTTCAACGTACCGGTATGTTCGTCGTGCTAGGCTTCCCTGCCTGGTCAGTACTCACTGGCGAGTTTGAAACGATGGCACTAAACAAAATGCACACAACACCTTTCTTCGTGCAGAGACCCGTGACCTCATGTACGAGTACACATTTTTAAATAGATGAATCAGATGCGGGGATTGCCCTTTTAAAATTCAGAAAAAAACTAGCTTGCCAGCAAGCTAGAATTCTAATTACTTCTGTGTGAGTAGAGTGCAAAAACTATGCACTAAAAAAAAATGAGCATTGCTTCTTCACATAGCCATGCCTAGCCACACATAAATAAGGAAACTATCTCCAGTTGGATAAGAAAGTGGAGAGAAGCATAGCGCTAAGCAGGCATATGAGGTGTATGGATTGTGACGTTGTGTAAAGCAGTTTAGGAGAGAACACCGTCCAGACCATGATGTGCTGGCGCATTGCCATGGTAACAAGAGCAGCAACGGTCGCGATAGCCATCTGATATAGCATGACGGTCGACAAGAATTCATCAACATGACTACCATGCTGCTGCTGCTGCGCACGTGTATTGTTGCCCTTAGCCTCATATTCTGGAGTTCTGTGCACGCTCAGCTTGCAATCGACCGGTCTTGAAACTGGCCTTCTGCAGGCGTACTGGCGACGCACAATATGCCCAAACCCGGCGAGAATCCAGAGCAGCAAGGAAGACCATACACTGAGTGTGATGAGCACACCCACGCGGGCCGGTGAGAAGTCTCTCATTCCCACGTAGCCGGGCGTGAGGTCAATCTTGGCGATGGCGTTGGAGTTGCCCTGCATGTAGAAACCGGCGAACCCCATCCAGAGACTGGACGCGGCTACCTGAGTCGCCGACATGCTGGGCCAGACATACCGATCAAACAACACGTGCTGCACACCGAGTGCGGCCACTACGAGCACATTCTGAGCGCGTGTTATCAAGCACATCAGCAGCAAGTAGACCGAGTAGAAGACCTGCAAGCCACAGTGGTCACCAGTTGTGCCAGAGCCTAGTAAAGCTCGCAGCAAGGACAGAGAACTCTGAACGAACACTATCACAATACACAGAACATACACTACATGAGATTCAAGGTACCCGTCTGATGATAACAATGCAGCCACGACACCAGGAACGGCAAACGAGCCCATCGCTGATCTAGCCAGGAACGCAAACAGGAGGCCGGGCAGCAGCAGCAGACCGAGACACCATGCAGGAATGTGCCGCTGGCGAAACTTCACGCAGAACACCGCAGCAACGGTGACCAGAGCCAGTGCACCAGTTACACTGCGCGCTGCAATACGCTTCTCGGCAGCCAGCCAGGAAGACAAGTCGGGCAAATGAAGCCATTTGTCGCCCGTCTGGCACCAGGAGCGCATCAGTCGCAGCAACGCAAGGGATAGAATAAACGGACTGGCTTGTGATGGCAGCAGCTTGGCACACCCAGCTCCGGCTCCCGAAACACAATTCTGGATTCCTGAGAAAAGTACGAGAGAAGTGGTCAGGAAGTACCAGACTTGATGTTCCTCTTCGACAAAACTACTGGCAGACAAGAACAGGAGGTGAACGACACCGCCAACAGCAAGAGCACGTGCCCTCGCACTCATGCCGGCGATGGGAGAAACCCTGTTCAGCCAGGCACTGCGATCAGTGAACAGACTCTTAGTCAGTGACAGTAGCACGGCGATGTTCAGTACAATGGCTGTGAAGAAGACTAGGATGACCGGAGTGGACATCGGTGACACGGAACAAATCCATGGCGACTGGCTGAGCGACGGAGACGTACAGATCATCACGTGCACAAACACACTCACACCGCTGCCCACAAACAGGACAGGAGCGGCCTTGAGAACCCTGAACACACACGGACGCAACTTGAAGAGGAGCGACAGCACAAAGACGGACACGAGTAGAAACAGGCCAACAGAGATGGCAGATGTGTCGTACAACACACTACTCTTGACGAGAGCCGCGCTGGCTTCATCCAACAATAACTGATAATCGTGCACTAACTTGTTCACATGTGATATGCTCAGCGATGGGTCAGCGCCACCCATGTGACGCTCCACGTAGGCTGCATGCAGAGAAGATACAGACGCGTGACGGGCAAAGAAACGCTCCTTCAGAGCACCTGGTACGGCACTGCCATTCACCGCGCCCAGAAGCTGCGCGGTGTTGGCAGCGAGAACGCGCAAGAGAGAGCGTGGCGCATCGGCGTACAGTACAGACAGCATTGGAGAAATCAGAGTTCCCATATTCGCCTTGGGAATCGGGACACCGAGCATCACAGCTAGGGTGGAGGCGAGGTCAGTCTGGTCCACTTCTCCGGCCGGATTGGCGAGTACTGTAGCAGCTGCGGCATGTTTGTTTATCCCAGGACTGAAGAACATGGCCGGTGTACGCACCTCTGCTGCTGACGACCCACCGTGTCCACCTGCATCACCCGTGCCATGATCACCGAGAACAAGCAGGACGCTATCCTTGTCGAGTGTTTCATACACCTGCTTCACGATCTCGTCCATCTCCAGCAGCTTTCCAGGCACGTGACTGCTCGTAGGGCCCTCGAAATGGCCGATGTGATCCAAGCCGAGGTAGTGCAAGATCAGTATGTCCCAGTCCGCACTCTGCAGCTCGGGCGTCACATGACGTGTGACATTCAAATCGACGTCGATGAAATCGCTCACAAAGAACGAGACCACCCACTCGTGGCGCAGGAACGCCCCGTCCGCCGGGAACAGGGTGCCCCATATGTCGTCACCGTACGCTACTATGTTGCTGCCGTGATGCTGTTTGGAGTAAGCAAGGATATTGTCACTGGACAAGGACGTGGACTGTTGAAGATTCAGTATAGCATCACTGAACACAGGAACTGACCCAGTGAGTATGGCTTTGATACGTGGCAGTGTAACCGTGGGTGCTTGAGCCAGGGTCACCAAACCTACGCCGTGCTGACTTTCCAGCAGTGACTGGGTGAATGGCATGCGGCCCCTGTCGTTCCACACGAAATCAGCTCGAATCCCATCGATCAGCATCACCACGACTCGTTTGAAGACGCGCTCATAACGAAGTGGCGCATCCGTACCCGGCTCCAGGCCATAATCTCTCCATTCAGCATTGTCACTACTCATCTGCTTGACTGGAAACATGCCAATGTCGAATAGCAGCAGAGCTACCAGGTGGGCAGCAAATGCACAGAAAATCCATTTTACAGGACGCGATTCACTCGACGCGAGAACCATTCGACACTATAAACAACCTGGCTGGTGAGCAAAGTATGTAGTGCACAATCGCTGTGCGGAGCTGTTATTTACACCATAGAAGACTGGGAATGCTAGCCTCAAGGACAAGAAAGTGCAGGTGGAAAGTCTTCTCTCTGTTTTTATTTTACTCATTCATGCAGTGTTCGGACCCAAAATTCAAATATCAGGGAAATTCCAAAAAAATTCTGGCGTGAGCGCGAGCACGCCATACTCGTTTCCATGTAAACGGCCATGGCATGGCCGGGCGCGTGTTGCAGGGGTAAGGCCGCTGGCGCGCGCTGCGCGCGGCATATACAAAAACCATCGTAGCTTGGGCTACAGACAGACTACAGTCATTTTTTGTTATGATACTTACACAGGTACTAGGTACCAATACGGCAAAACAGTCATTGTCATGGGAATACTCAAAATGATAATTACATTGAATTTGTAGTTTCTGTAGTTCAGGCCTGAAATGAAGTTGCCCAATGCCCATCATCAAGAGTAGATAAACAAGAGTGTCCAACTCCGGGATGGGTTGGCCCGCGGCGGAATTTTTTGTTGACGTAATCTTTTCGACGATGCACGCGCTGCGAGTCTTTTGGAAAGTTTTGCCTCGTGCACTTGGCCGGGCTTTACATTACAAAGTCGGTGCCCAGCACGTGCTCTCACACTGCTCTGGGGCAAAATGCGCGTTCTTCTGAAAAAATGTGACGTCAACAAAAAATTCCGCCGCGGGCGGGGGTATCTGCAGATTGTGCAGAAGAGATCCGGAGTTGCACACTCTTGTTTATCTACTCTTGCCATCATGCATTTAGTCCTTGTCGCCGGGATAATACCCGAAAATTCAAAGGCATTCACGGGCAGATTCACTGCTCGAAAAGCAGCGGCGAAGCGGAAACATTAGACTCAGTATGGTGGTCCTCTTCTTTACCTGGTCACACGTGCATAACCAAATACGCATGAAATACCGTGACCACAAAACTTGATACTAAATGCTGCTGTCTCTGCCAATAGCGATGAAAGTAAAATGAGCGCACCGTCGAGTCATACCACGAGAACAATGGAACAATGTTTTAAGATTTGATGGCGTCGTTTTCCGGCATGTGATTATCATCAGAAATCATCACATGAAAACATACTCACCATGGCCATCAGCCATGGGTATTAATGTTGAAATTATTTGATCAGGCTAGGCTTTAATACACCACACCACCACAGTGCGCTCTTGGCCGATCCAAACTCTGCACTCACATCACCATCACCACAGCGAGGCTAGGCTTTGGTTGGTTTTGGTCCTCTGTAGCATGACTTACAATTCTACAATGGCGCAATTCCCGACAAGATCATCTGTGCGGCGAGGATGCATGTGACAGGATAGTGTCAACCTGTTAATTATTTCTCTTAGATACATGTAAGTATATGGACTACATGTATATGCTTGTGACCAGCACAATCTGCACGCAAAGCAGCTAAATATTCAAGTATGCATGTGACAGGATAGTATCAACCTGTTAAAATTATATTTCTTTAAAATAAGTATATGGATTATATGCTCGTGGCCAGCACAATCTGAGGGCAAAGCAGCCAAATATTCAACGGATTATGGCATGTGCACTCGGACAGTTCCGGTGCAGCCTCCTGATCCACTGTGTAGCCATGTCAATGATCAAGTGACCTCAAGCTCTGCGGGGCGATTTACAGCTATTGCAGTACACACGCCTTGGAAATTTGCCCGCGATTTGACAGCCTCCTTGTCTCCCTGAAGAGAGAAGATTGACCTGCAGTGACAACGAAATCATGAGAATACACTGAGTTTTGTCATAGTAATACAGTGCAACTGTGCTAAGGCGTATCTTCATTGGGGAACTTGGCATGGTACTCGGTATCAAAAACCGGTTCAAACGGCAGCAAAGTCACAGTGTTCCGTCTAACGGTGATAAACACAGCAAGCTTTGCAAGTCTTATGTCCAACTCTTTCAAAAAGAAGATGCCAATGGACTACAACAGCTACATGTACATGCATTTCATGTCACCTCCCAATTCCGGAAAGAAATTTTGCCCTCCATCCAGCCCAATTTCAAGTATTCAAGTGAAACTTGCAGCACACAATTATTTCTATAGCATCTGGGGTAAGGGCAAGCCGAGAAACCTACCAGAATTCTGTAGCAAAGTCCGGTTGAGCACAAGATACTCATAGAAATCCAGTGTTCCCGATCCATCGGTATCAATCTCTCCAAACGCAACCTAAAGGACACAAGGTCAGCCATCCAGTTACATATGCATGCATTAGTACTGCTAGCAAGTACCTCAGTTAACATAGTAATCAACACATTCCAAAAACATGTTTATGGCGATGGTGTTGGCCGATATCTGCTGGCCGGTCGCTTCCAATCCAAGCTGGGGTTTCTTTTTCCCAATGATTTAGTGATTGAAATTCAGCAGTGCTTACATCAAAGTCGCGATCGCTGACCTGACTGTCACGAACGTCCTGCAACGCAGCTTTAACCTACATAGATAATGATGGGGAAATCACAGAAAAGAACAAACCAGAGCAGCTTGATACACCACAATTGCTGCGGTTATCCGATTAATTCTAAGGACAGCGGACAGTGGGCAATGTATGAAGGAAGAGCAGTAATGTTCTTGCAGAAACATGCATAACCCAATCAGAAGCCTTACACGATCGTTTCACCATGTAGAGCACAGAGATTTAGAATCAGAAATTCAGCAGGCAATGCGGTGGCATGGAGTGTTGTCACTACCCTGCTGCATGTCACTTACCTCTTCCCTGTCTAGCGTATAGTCACCATTCTTGTCGTACGTCATGAAGCGAGAGAAGTGAACACGGACCTGTAGAACACAAAAACAAGCACACGGAACCCCACATCGGTTCTCAACCAAAGATCAAGTATGAAAGCAAACCAACAAACAAGTGTTGTGAGTGTGTGTATATCTGTACTACTATTGACCAGTCCACTAGGCTACTAGCACCTGTTTACTGACTAGATCCGGCATGTGAAGTGATGATAGCCTGTCATACATTTATGTGCCCGCCTGCCACACTTTCTCATTTATATTTATGAGTGCGCACTCCGATTTCCTTTGCTTTTGATTACCTTGGCTTCGGAAAAGCCAACCTTGTGCTGACCTTTCAAGATATTGTTTCCTAGACTATCCCTTAGCACATTACCATCATCTTGTGCTGACCTTTCACGATGCGTTTCAGATATAACATGTACTCATTAGCACATAGTCATCATCCACTGTCTGCAGTATCTACCGTTTCCACTGCACTGCTTCTATGCTCAGATAGCTCCAGCCTTAATCTTATGGGCAGCTCACTACTTGTTCGCTGCTGCCACTGCCCTAGCCCTCCATCCTACTGTCATCCACCACTACAATACGGGATACCTTCCTTCTTTTCCGGAGAGGGACAGAGACAGAGAGGCAGAGTGTGAGAGACAGAGACGTCAAGTGACTTGTTTAGATCTCCAATTGAACGAACTATTTTCTTCTACTGAGTCTCAACACTGAAGGCTTTGCAAATTCTTTGTCTCCAACTCGCATGAGTGAAGGATCAGAGGTGTACATCTAATTTGTTTGAATAGGCAATAGTAGCAAGTGCAGATGAATTATCAGTCAGCCACGGCACTAGCCGTGATGGTTTTTTACACACCTGTGCGTCATTCATTTCCGGAAACATGTTGACGGCTTCTTTTATGTTTGGCAGCCCAGTGACCGGGTTGACAAGGGCCGGATTACCTGTGAAAGATAAGTCAACAAAAGCCATATGGAGTCGCACAAAAAGAACAGGGCTTCGACAGTAATGTTATAGACATAAATAATTGAAGGCACTATAACCAATAGCACCATTCAAAAAAGGCAGGATATTAAAGAGCCCATGGTAAACTAAATTGGAAGAGAACTTCGGGTCTTGTGATCGCTACAGCTATGGCTATGCAGCACATGAGCATTGGCATGTTTCTACTCAACAAATGCAAGTACTTACCATCTGATCGATTTGAGCGGCGCGTAGTTACAGAAGATGAGCTCAGCGTCCTCTTGACATCCCTGCGAGCGGGTTGGCCATCAGCCTCGTCGCCTGCTTTCGCGCTGGGCTGTTGTTGTCTACTTGCTTCCGTTACTTCCTGCAAGCAAATGCAACAAATGTCACCATTACCATGCGCAATATCAGTGCCGGAGAGAGCCAATGGAACAATCAAGTGAAACAAGTAATAGTTATTATACTGTAGGTTTTGACAAACTTTAAGCTATATGGCATGAACCATACTGTGCATCCATCGTGTATATACTTCCCAGAATAGAATTTATTGGTTGCTTGGTCATCTACTGAAGTTTGTTATAGGAGCCCAGTAACCACACTGGTGTAGTCCATGTTTAACTTACAAACACCGGTGGAGACGACACGCCAGCGGCTTTCCTCGTACGCGAGCCAGTGGCCGACAGCCGGCGTACGTCCTTGGAATGCTTCAGTGCATCCGAGCGCGGAGAGAGCTGCGTGTCGCTCGTGTTCCGGGACATGTCCCGTTCGCTAGTTCTAGTGGTGAGTGGCTTGAGGCGCAAACGGGAATCGTCAGTTTCCTTAACGTTCTCCCTGCGCATGCATGCAAGCATGGAGCAATCACAAATTAGGCTTCAGTACGAGTTCTTTAAAATCTTGAAATAGACCTGGAAGGTACATGTCTGCATACAATAGTAATGAAGTAAAACTGTCGAAGGAGACTGCTTGGAGAAGGCAGGTAAGTGTTTAGAGAATCACTAGAGCCAAGACCAAACAAAGGTTGTAATCTACAGGTGCATGCACAGGAAAACCTGTGACTAACGACCACCCCTTGCCTTGGGGCCAGAGAAAGCGGTCTTTAGTGGCAGGTGGTCCTTAGTTAGAGGTTTGCAACGCACCATCATATATGAATGTGAGACCGTCCGTGCCTGGCGAAGTGGTCTTTAGTACCAGGCTGGTCGCTAGTCGCGGTGGTCTTTAGTTACAGGTTTTACTGTAGTAGCAGGCTGGTCGCTAGTCGCGGTGGTCTTTAGTTACAGGTTTTACTGTATTAAGACCTGACAACTGAGACCATCTGTGCATGACAAGCAAGTGTTAGACTTAGGGCTCCGTCGAGTGGGTAGCTTATCAGGCTTCACTGTACTGCATAATAAAGTTCTGATGGTATTCCTTTTTGTCTGATTTCAATCCACCATTGGGAGATCTGTGGCCAGGGTTCCCTGCACACGGTGAACATTCAGCAACCGTTGCCATGCCCACACCAACAATGCACTGATTGACGTATGTGATCAAAATTACTACACACTTTCTTGCGAGTAGATGAGCCTTAGCAGGAAAAGTCTCTTCATTGTGCTTAGGATCGTACCCTGAATCTGCTCGTCTCTTCATCAAATTGAGCAGTTGCGGTGAAAATCCAGTGATGTCCTGAGTGGTTTCAGGTGCACAGAGGAGCATTGCCACACCACACACCAAACAGAAGAGCATTAGCCCAAACAGAAGAGCATGAGCCATATGCGTAGACATACAGGATATCCCAACAACTGCAGACCAATTTTCGTTCGGTAAAGAAAGAATAATCAGTTGACTCAATTTCAAATTCTCACTGCATTCATGTCTCTCAAGTCATCCACCGGTTCGTTGGATTTTTAATGATGGTACTGGAATGGCTTGTCTGACTTAGCGTTTTGTTCTTAGTTTGCAGCTGAGAGACCGCTCGGAGCGTGACAGTGTGTGGGATGTAGGGACAGAACGTGACACTGTGTAGTCTTTCACTAGACATTATGGAGCAATGAAGGGAAAAATTTGCTGACATCGGAAGTGTATTCGCAAGTGTTAGCCTACCTGAGCCAGTCCTTGATAACTACTGTCCAGGTCTGCTCTCACACTATCAATTGTACCTGTAAAGAAATGTCAAACATCACATAACGCTCGCACGGGTCAAGAAATCATCAAAACCATCACCCCCAGGTCAGGTAGGTATCTGACCCAAGAATGAAATGTCGTCTGGAACACCACCATATTCCGCAGTGTACAATTGAGTCAGAGCAAAAACTGGAATAGTAAACTACTTTGCAGTACACACTACTAAATTATAACAGAACCTAATTCAGAATAGACTGATGTGAAACACATCAACTTGATAAACCTCTTTCAAAAGGGAAATCCTTGAATACATGACACAAATCAGGGACGTAGCACCGGTTTTCATGTGGTTCGGCTAAGTGGGATACTTGACTGCAAAGGAGCATTATTGACAAAACACCGTTTTGCACGAATTGGGGGGGGGGGGGGGGGAGTCAACCTTTTTGAAATTAGGTCCGATCATGGCCTGAGCGGACGGACCAGATGCTACGGCCCTGGTAATATCCAGAAATGTGCTTGTAAAGTCCAGCTTTCGACTGCCATTGGGGCAAATATTCACATGCACACGGGTCTAGATCACACGGTCTGATACTTCTGAAAACACTTGCCCTTACCGTCAGCAACAGATGCGTATAGCACAGACAACAGCTCTCCTAAAGTGTCGCCGAGCACATGCGAGTGCCCGTCCCTCCACTTGGAATGCACCACGGAGTAGTCGACTATGATACCGTTCAGCAGGCCCACCATCACCTGCTGCTGTGCCTTCAGCTCATCGCATGCAGCCGCCAATCTCTGATGAGAGAAAACAGTTCAAGCACATCCTAGTCACCATCATAATGTTAACTCTGCTGCTGTTGAGTGACACTTCTCAACATGCTCTCCTGCTTAAAATAAACTCAAGAAGTCAGTGCTATGCCAATTCCGCTCCCAGAAACTTGATAAACAGGGCTTCTACAAAGAAGGATTCACATAATATGAAAAGAACTTCTGGCTTTCCTGCAGGACTGTAGTGTAGGGGCTTAGTTCATTATGAGGATGGGGTTTCAAGCCAAAGCCGTCTTATAGATGATTGACATGTCACTGTTAACTATAAAAAATACCTTTTCGGTGATGTAGAGTTCACGCTCGGCTTTCTCAGCTTTGATGATGGGATCTGCAGAAAGTCACAACAGAGGAAAGCGTTCCTCTACACTCTGTAGGCAACCTGATCCTGACGACTGCTGAACCAAGTGAACCACTGTATTTCCCCGATAAGTCCCACTCAAAAAACCCTCCCTCCATGTTTCAAGGTTGGAGCCCCATGTAAAGTCGTCGCCAAACAAATCCGGCCAATGCCGATACAGTTGTACGGTGTGCGGACACGGCCGTGCCACATGGTAATGCATATGTGTAAGACTACCATGTACAGTTTTGGCCAGATTGTTTGGCAACGATTACAGTGTAATAGTAATAGTTCTTGTGCTACAGCAGCACACTATATGAGGTGCTCCCGTATATGGAAATTGCTCCAACATCTTCCATTTCGCTAGCTGCATAGTCTTGCCGCCAAGGCACTCATAGTTCACGGGCTCATCAGAAAGATGATGAACAGGATTATAACTACTCCTGAAAGACCCCCCCCCCCCCCCGTGCACAGTTCAGCATTCCTGAAGCATGGTACAGTCAGACCTCGCTTAACCGCATACATCCGTTTTCCAAAAAATGTCCTGATAGACGAGGGAACCGGATAATCGAACACTGATGATGTTGGATGCATCACGCATGCTGTATATCTGTAACCAGCTATTTTCTTGCGGATGGCGAGGGATCCGGATAAAAGAGGACCGGATAAGCGAGGTCTGACTGTAGTATCAACGTGAGGTATTGTCAGCAATATCTTGTCGTCATTTGCACCAAAATCATTATCAATGCTAGCGCAGTTGCAGGTCACTCACCATCCTCATCACATGATTGCCGAATCTTGAGGTCTGCACGCATCTTTTCCCGCTTTACTTCCTCGGTCATTTTCTGGATATACAAGAAAGCAGCAAAGGGGCGATTAGAAAAAAATAGATCTTCTGGGAAAGGGAGGAAGCGTAGGAATCACATACCGTATTTTTCCGGTTGTAAGGCGACCTTTTACGACTAAAAATAGAAGGAAAAAGGGTGGGGTCGACTTACAACCGGGATTCGACTTATAACAGGGAACTATCAGTATCTTGCAAAAAATGACCTGCACTGCATGCGTGAGTGCACCATGTGTACACATGTTTGCCAGTTTATTGGCCTTTTTCAAGGGTTGGGACGTTATACCCTCCAAAAAGGAATGTTTACATGATTTGTTGTGTTATTAGCAGGGAGTGGTTGGTAGTGCTTCATTGGGTGAAACGCAGAATTGAGACCTCCGGATACGGGGGTCGACCTATAACCGGGGTCGACTTACAACCGGTAAAATACGGTACTGACCAAAATGGATAACGTGAGCAATACAGTCCTATCATAAGGGCTAGTGATGTGCAAACCTGTCTATTTGGTCCTTGAACCAACAACCATTTTTGCTTAGATGAGGATGTGAAGACCAAAAAAGGGTCTCTATAACGAGCTGATAGAAACCACAACAAGAAATCTTTAACCCTTATCCGACAGTGCAGTCAACAATCGACCTTAAACTCTTATAGTTTAGAAAGCATCCTTCATCAACCTTAACCACATTCAACCACGTGGATGTTGTGGTCTTTGAAAGCTATGAACCAGACATTAGTTTATGTGTGAGGTTGCACTAACCTGATGGCGGTTCTTGCTACGGTCCAGTAGACCACTGTGCTTCTCTTTCAGCTCGGAGAGCTCAGCTCTCAGAGCGGCTTCACTACACAGGCGATAATACAAGTAGTGCAAGAGAATACAACTCCCAATCAGTTCAAAAGCTTCTTATAACGTATTCGCCTCCACACAGGGAAGAGATGACTTCTTCCCAGCGTATGACAAAAAGAGATATGATTGCACAGTAGCCTAACTGTAGGCAAAGACTATTTCTGGACTGTAGAATTCATACTTACCGCTGGTTGGCTTCTTTCAGTACCAATCTCTTTTCTCTTTCCCACAGCTGGATGTTCTTTTCACGCAGCATCCTGAGGTAAAGCAAAAGCAAAGAGGTTGTATAAGACACCGTGGATCACCTTGGTGGAAGGTTATGATCATCCCTAGATCCAACAAACTGCCAAAAATGTCCCATGCAATGGAATACAAGCTGGACAACAGTCCATCTAAAGCCATACAGACATTATAGTGTTGACATGTTTGTATACTAATGATTAATGTTCTCACCTTGCAATCTTCTCGTTCTTCTCCTCGACTTGTTTGCGCATGGTTTCAACAAGCGCCTTCGACACATTCATCTCCTCAGTAACCTTCTGCAACCTAGAATGCACATGAACAAATCCGACATACCAGTGAATAAATCCGACATAGTGAACCTTTATGGGCAAACTGCCACAGTGCAAGAACAATGAATACGGCTGAAATCTACCTCCAAGTGCTATTTTCTATATCACCTCCTTTCTCAGAGTATGCGGTGGCCGAGACATACCTTTTGTGTAGCCTCTTGACTTCAGCCTTGTTGTTTTCATTCTCAACTGCAAACGTGAACACAAACCACAAGTGATTGAGTAGATACTTCAGTATAATGTACATGCAGCTCCAAGTGCCTGAAAAATCTTTACATTATGTAAGAGGAACCCAGTATCCGAGGTCAATGACCGGAGAAAGTGCTTTTAAAAAGGAAGTCCTAGAAAGAGTCCTTCATACCCCACAGTATGCTATATCCCAAGGGTACTTTATACCTATGTCTGTGTAATGAGCTGTGCCATTGTCCATGTTACTGCCTATAGTATAGCCATGATATTGCTGCATTATCTTTCCGGTTGAAACAAATACAAAGTTTGGAATTGGAATGAATTTTGAAATCGATTTCAGAAGATCCGATCAAAACATGCTGCTTAGCTGATGTGATCATGTCACTCCAATTACGTCTAGCTCCGTCCCACTAACGCTTACCTGGGCAGAAAATTATAACATCCCCGCTAGATGAATGAATGACCATGGTCGGTCAGGGTCAAGTATACAAATGCGTATCGGTTATAGTGTGGTCGTATACAAGAATATACTGCTTACAAGAATGAACACTCATTTTTTCACAATCATAACACATATTTTATGTGTATTTTATTCTTACAAGCAGTATTATCGCATAGTAGAATATATCGGCCCTAAGAATGGATTTTGTGTAGCAAAATATGCCAGATTAGTGCAAAGTGTATCGCCTGTAGTAATAACATCGGTGCTCTGTGCATACTCAATACAATAATATTCAACACAAAAAGAGAGTTTTGTCCAAGGGAGCATTGGAGAATCACTTTTTCTGTCCAGTCGGACTCTTTCTTCCAACTTCTCTTGTATCCGCTGCTCCGCAGTCGCCTACAACACCGCGAGTCTGATTGATCCGTGTGTGTCATGTGTACGTGTCCACATGCCAAACGTGCACGCATAACGTTATGATATGTCACACGTGCATATGATATGTCACACGCGATTCATCGTGTGTAAGAAAATATTGGCAATAAGAATCAAATGTCGTTTTTCAAACACCCACGCTATAACCGATACCTACTGTACTTATGACGGGAGCTATTCACCCAATATGGTATCAGGGCATGCGGTGGGATTTTGCATTCCAGGATAAGGCAGCGGCAGTCTTCTTGATTTTCATTGCACAACTGAAGATGGTCCGGCCAGTACAGTTCGTTAGCAACCTATTGAGGACCATTGACCATCATGTTACATCTGCTACAGTGACATTAGCAGGTCAATGTTAATTGCCGGAAAAATATTCCAGTCAAAGCAGAACAAGTCAGCCTGGCTATATTGTTGCTGCAATTCAAAACCAGTAGAATTCCTCACCTTCCATTTCTGCATTCCTTCTCTCTGCTTCCCTGTTTTTCGTTGCCGATTCCTTAACAAGACATAACCAACGAATACTGCTCAGGAAGACGAGAGAGCTTGAAAGCTCAGGGCCCTACGCTATGCTTTTTTGCCTTGATGACCGAGGCAAAAAAAAGCATAGGGATGTTATAAAAAAATTTCCAGCCATAACCTGGGATTCGAACCCGCACTATCGCCCTGCATCAGGCATGCATCCTCCGATACACTTCGCAGACATACTAATTCTTCCAAGTTGCTTCACGTTATGATCTTGCATTTGAAAGCCCTATTTGAATATCGTGGCCAGCTGTTTGTGGGCAGCCGTCTTTGATGGTACGGTACGGTATGGGACAGGTACCGTCGAGGGTAATACGACACTGTCTACCACCTTGATGACCTAGGCAAAAAAAGCATAGGGATGTTATAAATTTTTCAATTCTCCTATTTTTTAAGGCATAACCTGGGATTCGAACCCGCGCTATCGCCCTACATGCATTCCCCAATACACTTCGCATTCATACTCATTCTTCCAAGTTGCTTCACGTTATGATCTTGCATTTGAAAGCCCTATTTGAATATTGCGGCCAGCTGTGTTTGATGGTACGGTACCGGACAGATACGGGATAGCGCCAGGCGTGACACAAACAAAAAAACAAACAAATAAATAAATACCAAATTAAAGCTGTGTGGACCCTGGCTAGCGCCAGACGTTACTTCAGTAACGTCTTCTGCATAGCTACGGGAATAATGCACAGCTATTTCCCATGCTGTGTGCTGCCACCGTAAACTAAACCCAGCTCATCTTCATCGATGATAGTGGAGAAAAAGTGTTTTTAAGGTTTTGAATAAGGCTTTAGTCAACGGAAAAGCCAGTTAGGGGCTCTGTGATGACATAGGCCAGCCTTTAGAAAATGGCATGTGGAAACTGATATGACTCAAAGCTGATTTTTGATTTTTGATAAACACACCACGTGACATGTCTGTGTATGTCATGAAGCAATCAACTGGTACATCCTGCATTGTATTAGCCAAGCAGAATTGAAATGGCGGTAAAAACACAAGCATATCTTGAAAACCGCTCGATACATCTACCTTTTGGGCTACCTACAAATGAACTTGCACGCTTCCCAGATTCCCCGGTCACAGTACAAGTTTTTTGAGTGTCCCATTCAGACTTTCCAACCGCACACCATAGGCTCAGTTACCTCCACTGTTCTGACCAATTCACTGCTGATCTCCTCCAGCTTCTCCGTGACGGTTTGTGTGAACGTTGTAATGTCATCAGGAGAGAATGTATATTGTTCTGGGCAGGAAGAGAAAGCCGCGGGACATTGCCAGCTGGTAACACACAACTTGAAGTGCTAGTACATGCCATGCGTGCAGTATTGCAAAACAGCTGCAGTACTGAAGACAGCAAACATGGAGATGACGAGCACTTTCAATCTAAAGGAACAGTGCAAGCAAACGCCCCAACACATTCACCACTTAGGCAATCACATACTTACCTGCTGTAATTCCTGTCATAAGCCAATGATGATTGCATAGCAATAATTATACGACATATGCTGCAAAGGAATGCATCCTTTGCATGGTGCAGTTCCTTCAAAGCAAAATTTGACAGTCATGACGGGAGTGGAGTTCTCATGTCCCGCTCCACCATCTTATGCATCTAACCGTGTACTGTGCTAAACTGTATCATGTTGATGTACATACTTGGATCTCGAGGTGGCAGATACTTGACAGACCTAGCCAAGAGGTCAGCCTGCACATACACATACATAGTGTGTAGAAAAAGGAAGATATGATCACAACACACGTACAGACAACCAGTTAGCACAGTATCCTGTCACCACCAGGCTGGCTTCCACCATAAATGCTTCAGAATGCGACTCAACTTTGTGCAGAACTAAACTTTGTACTTCAAGTACATGTACTTGTAAGAAATTCTTTGTGCAGGGAGTACAAGGAAGAATACGTTAAATTATCTCGGACCAATATGGCAGTCAACAGGTAGTTATGCTACCCAATTACGTACAATGTCTGCAATCACAGTATCAGGTTGTTAACAGTTAAAATCATCCCTGCTAATCTTAAACGATGTGCAACTCGTGTACATAGTACTTGTCATTGTGTGAAGCGAAATCAACCCTGTCTCACTTGTACATGTAAACGGGTCCTAGCAATAGTTATTTGTTGTGTTGTTGTGTTCATTTTTATTCGCAAACCAAACGGGCAGATCTGCCCAATGAAAAGGTGGCGAATGCAGATAGAAAGCAGTAATTAATGAAATTGGGGAGGGATGTAATGAGGATAGAGGTGGAGAGAAACTAAGCCAGCTGATCATCAAACAGGACGTTTGGTACTCTAGGTACTAAGGGTGTGCGGGATTTACACGTACACGTACTTATGTGGGTTGGCTAGAAGTACAATACGCTGCAGGGAAGTTGGTTAGAATTTCCCTGTTCACTGTCCATACGCATATCGAGTCACTTCATAAGTTGTTATTCTGGTGCATGTGATATCATGTACTAATACATTCAACTTCTGACACCAGACCAACAACGCGGTGAAAACAAGGGGGCGGATTGCAGTGGAACACACCTGCGTTGTTAAGCTCCCAGACGTTGATTCCTTGAGATGCTGACGCAGAGTTGCAAGGCGTTCTTTCTCCTGGACATGAGTAACAGATTGCAGGCCGAAACACTTCGATACAAGTACGTATACATGAAGGTCTTTTCAGAGATACCCTGTCGAAGCTATGTCCATGCAATGGTCGTCTGGAACCTACTCCGTGAGCAAGTATCACAAGTGCATGACACATTAGCGGTTGACAACATCATTACACATACCACACATACTACATGTAGTATTACTCGGTACAAGTGAGGCAATTTAAACATGCAGGGCAATCTCACCTGCAGCAATACTGTAGAACCTCTCATATCCCCTGATTATTAGTAGGGCTGTGTTTGCTAGTAAAAAAATAAAAAATATAAAAAATCCAGTCACCATGGGACCCAAGGGTGCCCTTATGTCAGAATCATCCTTAACTCGGACTCACTGTGACTACAGCCACAATGGATATAGCATATCAGCCTCCTCAAGTACGGCCCCTTATGTGGTCGACGTGAATGCCAAGAAAAGCAAAACATTTCCAAACCTTTACTGCGGGGTACCTGCTTACAGTGTGCCTCACTCAGAGAAGTATGGTGTTTTGGTGAAGTCTGAATATACGAGGTCTGGGTACGGGTGGTCCTGGTACAGAAGGCTTGGGTACGGGAGGTCCAGATACGGGTCCGGATATGGGAGGTCCACACAGAAGAGGTACCCCTTTAATTAAAGTCAATACAGAGATTGTATTTTCCCTGATGAATGTCTCTAGAAAACGTGTTCGGCAGCTTTATTATCCATCTTTTATTTTTTGTTCATTACTACGTCCAATGTCCACTTCGCTGATTCTGCTTATTGTCTTATTAAATACAGAGAAAGTCGGTGATTTTGAGGGAATACGGCCATTACCTGCAGGGATGGTCGCTTGATCCTTTCCTGCTCCTCCAAGACACCTCCGAACGTGGACAAAACCTGCGCATTCAGATATAGGTGCAAAAGGCAATTTAAATTCTTCCCTCGATTCGTCTTTTGAAGAACAATCATCCTTGTTTGCATCAAAGCGGTTCATCGTAGCTCAAAGCCTGCTGTACTCCTTGCCAGTAAAGGACTCTTTAGTGCTGAGTGCTGATTCACAAACACTTTGTCAATTACTACAATATTTCATTGCGGCAAGTTTGGCATGTCGCTCTTCAGTCCCGTGAGGAGACCTAGAAGGTCGAAACAGCTACTTGTCTAGCAACTGAGTCATGCTGCAGTTAGATAACTAAGGAGAGATGAGTGCAGTTACCAACTTGCAGCGGCATGTGCCAAATTGCATCTCTGAAATTTGCCAGAAATTTGCCCTGCGGCATATACATGTACCCGAACAGGTATTTCGATACACGCTTAGACTCGAATATTAGGCTTTGGTGCCAATGGAGGATGCAGCATATAGAACAATGCGCCCAATATCACAGCAATATGATACGTAGGGAAGGAGAAAACAGTTAGACAAGAGACAGGCAGACAGACAAAACCCAGGGGAGACACGGTACGAGAGTGAGAGAAATGCTGCTTCTTTAGGCTATTGCACAGCACATGTTGCCACTCGTGACATATTCCTGATCATGTACCAAGCCACATACAGAGCAAAATAATACAGAGCATGGCAGTATGTATATAGAACAAGATATCACAGCTATTGAAGACGGCAACAACACTGATTGCTGATTTGGCAGCAGCCACAAAGCATTACTCACGGCATCAATGTCATCTTTCAGATTCTGAAGTCTTGACAATGAAGATTCCTGTGTGAAGAATGAGGAAATGCAATGGCTACCTATTATCTCTACATGGTAAACAATAGCATCGATAGTTTAACCACCAGGATTTCATTCTAGGACTTCACAGAACAACATTGAAAATTCAGTTCAAAGTATCAAGGGCCAATGATTGATTTTGAACCCGGATACTGAGCCAAGGGCAGATAGAGAGGAGACAGGACAATTTTGATGCAAGTAACTAGTTATGAGTAACTGTCCACAACTGTAACTAGATAAAACATAGTCAGAAGTGTGACCACTAGGCACAGATATCACAGAGCATTGCGGCATTGTGTGACCTGACACGTATATTAAAGCTCCAGCACGTCTCCAATGCGCAAGACAACAGCCTGCCAACTTGGAAATGTTAAAGAGGGAAAGGTAGGTGCAATATGAAAATAAGCTAAGTCTCACAGCAACAAAATAACGTTGATAGTTAAAGGGGAAGTGCATCGATTTTTCGGGTAGGGTCCAGAAGAAAGACAATTTGATATCGGTTCGAATGGCATATCTCTCGCTTCCATCCGATAAGCCAAACTTGCCAAATCGCCAATTGTATGCTCACGTTGCCATAGCGACCAGCGCAGTGATGACGTATGAAAGGCTTAGCTCCTCCACAGAGAAGGTCGATCACTGCAGAAATTGGTCATTTTCAATTGTCTTATTGTATTCACGATGTGAAAGAAGTGCTGTGTTCAATGCTGTTAGTGCCGTGAACTATTTATCGCCCTTCTCATGCATTTCCCTAGGCTGACTGTGCCTAGGAAATGGTTTCCTCCAGGACAAGATGCTTGGAATTCGCCATCTCTCCTGAGACATTTTCAGCAAACTTTCAAACCTACGACATTATTTCATTCGTCAATCTCCACCACCCGTCGTCTCACCTGGCTTCAGAAGATGTTACGAGAGATAGTAGAGTCGCCAGGAAGCATCACATTCATCTTCAGGAAGTGGAAAGAGCAAACAGCATGGTCCTTGGTTGGGGGAAATGCTGAACGTCTGATTTGTCCCAACCAAGATTTCAGCATTTTGTTCGTCACTATTTTCGCTTGTCTGCTGGTGTCTCCGCACTCCAGCTTTTTCCTGTCCTGTCGGTGTCACGTCCCAGTACATAACCGAGAGGACTACTAACAAACAGTTCACTGCACTAACAGCATTGAACACAGCCCTTCTTTCACTTCGTGAATACAACAAACCAATTGAAAATGACCAAATTCTGCAATGATCGACCTTCTCTGTGGTGGAGCTAAGCCTTTCGTACGTCATCAATGCGCTGGTCGCTATGGCAACGTGAGTATACAATTGGCGATTTGGCAAGTTTGGCTTATCGTATGGAAGCGAGAGATATGCCATTCGAACCGATATAAAATTGTCTTTCTTCTGGACCATACTCGAAAATCGATGCACTTCCCCTTTAATGCACCTTTCAGTTTGGAAGGCTGTAAGGCTGTGACTTCTGTTTTGCTGTCACGGGGGCTGTGGGGCTGTAAGGCTGGGAGGTGTGGTTGTGAGGCTGTGGGGCTAGAGGCTGTGGGGAGGAGAGTTTGTAGGGTTGTGATTCTGTGTTAGTGTGAGATTTTCAGTCTTGTTATGCTCCTAACAGTATTATTATCTAGTTACTGTGGTTGACAATTAATCTGACCTCTATCAATTTGTTATTTCTGCTCCAGAGGATCGAAATTGACTATCATTCTAGGCATTTTTTCTACCCCATCTACCGGTGGGCAAGTGGTCAGTTGACGAAATCTCATTCTTATTGTTCTTCTGGCCTCCGAATGGGCAGCTTGTGTTTCCATGCAAGGAAAGGCGCAAGGTGTACCCGAGAGAAGGAGATTCAACGGGATAGCTACGTGTGTGAGCAAGGTCAGTCAATACAGTCCACACTTTGTGGTGATCGGATACACTTCATTTTTTCTTGGACAAATGCCCAGCAACCAGTGATACTCAGGGGCGGATCCAGGGGTTCTGCAGAACACCCTAAATTTTGCAATTGTACTACAACAGTACTGGAAACCATACACATGGATCACCTATTCAGTTTTGGCTAAACTGGAAACCCCCTGTAGATATCTCTGGATCCACCACTGAATACTCGCTCCATAAATGAATTAGTGCCGAGCATTGCACAGACCCCCACGCAGGACGAATACCAGGCTGAGCTCTCCAATACATTGCCGCTCTACTCCGCGTGGGGATTTTCACCGGCCGCATAGATGGAGGGGTTGAGCAAGGAATGAGCACATAGATTAGTGAGGTGAGCAAGGAATGAGCAAGGATGCCAGCAGGGAAGAGTCTGTAATGAAGTGTGACTCGGTATTAGCACCATCACCAGGACTTGACTCGGGGGATCAGTCGTTGTGAGATATTACTATTAGTATACCCGCTATGCCCTTGTTCTGGCCTGACCACCGAGTCAGTGTGTATTCGGGTAACCGAGTCAGTGTGTATTCGGATACACATCATTCCATTACACCCTACACTACAGCTGCAACCAATGCACTAGCATCGAACTGAAGCTTTATCGAGGTCTTGGAGCGACATGTTCAAAGAAAGCATGACATCCTATTATGGTAAACCTCCTGTTTGTTTTTAGGCTACAAGGGCCATGCTCAGGTGTTCAACCACCACCATGCACCCACACACCACAATGCGCCGTAGCAAAGTTCACTGGCACAACAATAGCCATACGTACCTCGTATGCGTCCATCTCGTCGGCAGCAAGTAACGGTTAGTTAGTCAGTGTTCGCAACTACTTTGTAAACAGCTTCAAAAATCAAAATAGACGGGTGGGAACCCGCTACACCGACCCAATGTTTGATTTTCTTATCGCCATTCAACCGTCACAGTCGTCACATTGAATTGCAGACGATACTACAATGTAATAATAATGTTTCCTTGCAGCGCCGGACGAACTATTCGACTCCTTGTAAACAACTCAAGATTTGTTCCGTACCGGACGACCAATACTCCTGACAAACTGCTACCATCCGACTCCGTACACTCGTCCGTACACGCGGAACAGTCACTCCGCGGATTGCAGCGATGTTCCGCTGGGTGGCGACTCAAATCGAGTGTCACTGTCAGTGCAGTCCAGTACAAATGCGCGATCGTGGACATGGTGCACCGGTGATTCTGGGCCGAAACGTAAGGTCTACTACTGTCTCGTGTCTGTAGAAGTCTACTCCAGTCCATGATCCAAGATCCACCCCTTGTTGTAATTATTTATGTGGCACGGAGTCACCGGCGCTGTGTCACCAGATCCAGTTGCCAATGCCCTGGTGATCTTGGTCTGGCACGTGGCAGTTGGCCATTGTATTGGTGATGGATGATTGATAGGTCTGGTTGGCTTGGCCTTGCTCAGCCAGCATGCAGATGGCCATGGATGACGGGCCTTGACGGCATGAGTAGACTATCTGTCGTGGATTTGACGCAAGTCACCCCACGCACGCAAGTAATGCGTAAAAGCCGTTGCCGCCGATGGCATTTCGCCATCAGGTAACTGACCCAGGTTGCCTAGGAGACATATCGCCATGTCTCTGATCTGCAGCGCGTTGTGCTTACGCCACTTGCAGTATTTCTGAAGTCATGTAAGGCAGTTAGATCTCGTCCTCCGCTACAGCCAGTACATCATGGTACATGGTACAGGACTACGGACATCAACCTGTTTTGTATTGATCCCTACCCCTTGGCTTGAGCAGTTGAGGTCCCGCGCGCGCAGTTCTGCTCCGCAAGGATTACAGACTGAAGGATTGGTGTGCAATCAACAGCTCGGTTTCTGCTGCCTTGTCTTTGAGATAAACATATGACTGAATTGGCCTTAGAAACCTGGCTGAAAGTGTAGAATTCACATTTGCCGTGGTAAGAAAGCAGAGTCATGGTCACTTATGTCTTTTACACACAGAACGAGTGGATCCCAGAAAACACTGAGAAATGAGGCTGCCAAATGTTCGCAAGATTCCCCGGGCAGAAGTGCGCGGCGCGGCGCTTGACAGCTATATGTACATTGTATTATTATTATACCTATTCAAACAAAACAGGCTATTACTATTAGTATTACTTCAGTACAGTGGGATTAGATGTATTCGATTATGTGCCTGCAGTAGGAACTAAGGATGTGCTTGTTGGGACCAATTTTGACGCAATGTTGACGACATTCTTAGCACCACACATGCAGATAAAACACCACGAATGAAGCATGTCTATCCTGTGGCCCCAGGTCATCCTCCTCACTCGAAAACACTCTCCTATGTCAAACTTGTCCAGGGTTTTGTCGCTCCAGTCGCCTCGTTGTGGCGTACTTGCTTTGTTGTTCTGACATCTGACGTGTTTACAACACCGTAGTCACTGCCTTTGAGCTATGAGTATGAATACTAGTATGATGCCTGAAGTATGTTCGTGACAATCAGAGACAGTCATAGCATTCGTTGCACCGCAGGTGGTCGCCAATGAACTAACGTGTTACTTCATGCATTATCGCTGTTGCATGCCATGCAGTAAATGCGAAATATGCACATTGTAAACACATCACCAGTGACCGGGTATCATTGGCACTCCACATAAATAATTATTAACATCATCCTCAACTCCAAGGACCTCTAAATATTGCTGGTCTTGTCTTGCAACAACAAAAACTTTCTGATGGGCGCCAGGAAATGTAATTCAATTATTGGTACCGTGTTGAATTTCTTTGATACCATCCATATCCCCTTTCTCTTTTCAGGTGATTGTTTTGGTCGATAGGACGGTAACTAAGTCACTGTACTCAGGCACTGGGCCATGGCGGCTGCCATGGCCTACCGACTGCTGGCTTCAAACAGCAGTTTTGAAGAACTCAATTTGCTGGTTTGTCTTTTATGTTTAGTTCTTGTGTTTGTGACTATGCTTTCCCGCGATCAGGCCAGCTCAGGCTCGCAGAGTGACTCTGGAACTCCGGAGGTCGTTCTCAGGGTCAAGGCGCATCTGCAGGACGGTTACAGGCAAAACAGAGTGTTGTTGGTCTTCGGAGAGGCTGGCGACGCTAGGGAAGACGACCAGGAAACTGAGACTGCAGATGTCACTGTGAGCCACTTGAAACGCGTGCATGTGAGCGAGCTGATAACGAACGTTCGTATTGTGTCGGGTCGGGACCTGCACGAAATGTTCAATGATTCGATGTTCGGCTCGGCAGCTGGCCTGCGGCGGCTGGAGCACGGATTTCACGGCAGCAGCGCCGAGTCGCTCAGCGTACACGACCTGTTCGGATTAGGTCGGATCAGGAGAGATAGTTCTGCGGTGACACTGGTTCTTGGCAGTGCAGGCGTGGGCAAGAGTACAGCGTTCTGCCTGCAGCTACCGTATGAATGGGCGTCAGGGCGCCTGATGAACAGTGTGGAACTGCTGCTCTGTGTTGAGCTGCGCAACGAACGTGTGTTGAAAGCTCGCAACACCGGAGAGCTGCTGCAGCTTGTGTTGGATACGAATGAGGAGGAGAGTAGATCCCTGCTCCACTATGCCAGGTCTAAGCCAGGCTGTATGTGTATAGTGATGGATGGACTGGATGAATGTGACATGTCACAGTGCAGTATGTACATGAAACGCCTCATGAAAGGTGCCAGCAGCATGCCAGGCACACGGATCATCATCACCTCACGCCCATGCCGTGCCGCTTTCAACCTCACCAGAGAGAACGATCGCCTCTGTTGCGTAGAGATGATTGGATTCTCCGAGACGGATGTTACAGAGTTTGTTCGGCGATCTCTGCCAGAAGAAAAGGGAGAGGCCATGCTTGAGGAGCTGAAGAAGAATGATGACATGGCTGCACTGATGGCCACGCCGTTTATGGCTTCTCTGTGCTGCCAGCAGTTTATCGCGGACGGAAAAATTAGCAGATGTGCTACTTCGCTATTCGAGTCGATGATATTGAGGCTTCTTGCGCAGCAGGCTAATGGTGTGAAGGCTGATGGTTATGAAAGCATACCCAAAGCACAGCAAAGCATTCTTGCCGAGCTCAGCAAGTTTGCATTTGACAGGCTGATGGCAAAAAAACTGATCTTCTCCGAGAATGATGTAAGAGCAGCGCAGCTGTCCAACCGTGCATTGCAAATCGGTGTGCTGGTTGCCTGTGCGGCAAGCATGCTGGCAATGAGTGCGAGGCAGTTCCGCTTCAGTCACCTGATGCTTCAAGAGCACCTTGCAGCATACCATGCAGCCAAGAACCTGGTGAAGTCGGCATGGGACGTGGCAGAGCTGGTACGCAGCATTGGCTGGCGCAGAGGGAGAACAAGATCGTTCTGGTGCTTCCTGATGCCCTTTCTTCCCGTGCAGTACTTCGGTGTGGCACTGTCATCGCTTATCGCTCAGAGTCGCAAACCGGGGTCCGAGCCCCAGCTGAGATTCACGGAGACAGGAGAATGCCGCCTGTGTTCACTAGCGAACTCTGAAATGGAAACTCTCCGCTCGATGATGACCGGTCTGCTCACAACACACGATATAAGAGAACTTGCAAATGACTTGCTAAGGGATGCCGGCGGCTATGAAGAAGTATTGAGGGATGTCGAGCAGTCCGGTCGTGATCTGTCAGATTCCGAGATCCTTTCCGACACTCTTGAATTGTGGAGAAAACATGTTCCGACTCCGAGCGCTTTCCTGCTCTTCATGGCTCTGTTCAGAGTTAAGAAGGAAGTTGCAAGCCATCCAGATGTAATGAGAGCCTTTGAATCCTGCCAGAAGATTGAGGCCGAGCCTGACGGATTCTCAGCCAATGATGAAGAATTTGAGGCGGACACATCAACCCGCCTGCTTGCACCAACTGCTGCCAGTGGGTACGACCGCTCCCACTCTATTCTTGTGGGCACATTCTGGTCATTTGTGTTTGAATTCCTTCAGTACAATAAGGACATTCAACCTGCGAACACTTGGTTGAATGTTCTGGCAGACCTCGGCTTGACCTGTGATTGCTTGGCAACACCAACCATGGCCAGAATGACACACCTTGTGGACAGCGGCGTTCATAGAAACCTCAAGACAGTGCTGATCTGCGAACGGATCCGTACGAATTTGTCGGAAAAGCGAAGGGACTGCACGAAAGCACTGCTGGCGAGCATTGCTCGGTGCCAGTGCCTCGAACAGCTCCTTGTGTGGATTCCACTTGATGAAGAGCTCTTGTCCATGATCGCGCAAGTGGTTTCAGCCTCCTGCCAAATCCTCAAAATCATTCGGCTTGACGAGTGCGAAATAACGCCCATACAGGAGCCGTTCCCAGATGGTCACAAACTCATCAACAAGATAACTGAATGCAGTTGTCTGGAAGTCGTGGGGGTGTCGGGCAGGAAGCTTGCAGATGCCTGCGTACACCCACTATTTCAGGCACTCGATGCAGGCCTGCTACGCAACGTGACGTGGCTAGAACTGGATCGGTGTGGGTTGGCAGACGACAACTTTGCCAGGCTAGCCCAAGCATGCTCCGGACGGCACCAGCTCATCAACGTATGCCTGTTTATGAATGAGCTCACCGCAGCTAGTCTTCCGTCCCTTGCTGTACTGCTCGAACACTGCCCAAACCTGGAGCTGGTTGAGCTGCGCAGGAATCACTTCGGCCATTTGCCACAGTCGGAGAACGACGACGCTGTGCTGGCCGGGTTGGCATCGGCCATTCAGGCATGTACACGTCTCAGGGAGCTGCTGATGTTTGACTCCATCCCTGTGCAGAACCAACTGTACGAATTTCTACAGAGTATCGTACAAGATGGTAGTTTCAGCCTGACAGTGGTGTGCAGAGATCTTTAGGTGTGTGGTCCAGGGGAGCATCGCAGCTTGACAGCTCCAGAGTCAGATACATAATCCTTCTTTTCCCATTTTAACCATTCCCTGTGTTGTCGTTAGAGAGAAGGGAACGAACGAAAACGGTTGATACTCGCTGAGACGAGTCTTCTTGATTGGATGTGTGACCTTGCATGGATGGATACATGCGATCCTAACTTCCCTTTTTTAAATATTATTATCTGCCTCTGACCCGAGTCTCTAACAACTTTCAAGTTGTGTATTCCTCGCTCTTTCTTGAATTTCTTCTTATATCATCTTGACACTTAAAATAGTCCTTTTAAACTTTGTAGCATTTGTTCTGTATTGTTCGGCTTTTCTTTCATACCCCTTTCTTTATTTCTCAAACTTCTACCCATGGCTTCCTCCTCTCAGCTCGTCAGCTGACAACAGTTACTGCCACCACCATTACGCCAGGACACTGGCGTGAGAAGGTGCTCTCTGGACTGTCCGTACACGAGATCGGTGATGTCCCGACGCCCGGGGCCATGGCCACCACGGTTACCATGGTTACTGTAGCACAACATGGCATGTTACTACATGTAATGACGTATACTCGTACTGTCTGTCTCCTTTTTGTAGCTAGCCACACCACACCAGTACTACCATGACTGCTGGAGTACTGCACAACTCACTCCTTCAGAGTCCTTGGCTTGGGAGTCCTGAGCTCATAGTCCTACATCATGCTACATGTACAATGTAGATCATCATGATCATGATCATGCATGCATGCAGTGGACATGGTGAAAGCCGTGGCTAGCTAGACCAGGCATGGTAGACCAGGTAACTGGTTACTTACATGTACATGTACATGTACACCGTACAATCATGTAGTTGTTTTTTTTGCGAGAAACCACGAACCTCGAGAACAGAATACTGCATGGTAGATAGAGGTGGCTAGTGTCGCGGAAGCGGAGACCTAAGGTCGCTGGAGATGCTCCAGTTTCACCACCGCCACCACAGTTGTGTCTGAATCCGGCTGCAGACGCAACTGTGGTGGTGAAACTGGAGCATCTCCGCCCACCTAAAGTCTCCGCTTCAGCGACACTTCAGACTCAGTGTGCCCAAAAGTAGTAGGCACAGGGGGGGGGGGGAGGGGACCGGGGTGGGGAGGGGCCCGGGGGGGGGGGGGGAACAGTATACAGCCATTTAAATTCAGGCCACGACAGGGAGTTGGGCTTTGGCCTCGGTGGGCATACAAAGTCATGTATGATGTAGCAGCGCAGTGTGTGGCACCGGAACGTGGTGGTGGAAACGTACACGTAGACGCATACGCCTAGCTAGCCTACTATACGAATCAGTACGATACTGTATACTCGCGATAGGATAGGTAGTACTAGGTCCACTCTTTTCTACACGTAGATCTCCGTGTAGATCTACGCTACATCACTCAGTGAGTCAGTCTACACTTCTCTCGTCTACACGCTGTCAGCACTGGTCATATCAGGCAGCAGCCTAGCTTTCACTGTTTCAGGTGCGCAGTATGTCAGTATGTCCAGGGTAGATCTACACCTGGTCGGTACTCATGCCAGTCATGGTAGATCTACTACAGCCTACACTACACTACACTAGTCTACAGTCAGTACAGGTAGTACAGTACTACTCAGAAGCTAAGAAACTGACAATGCCATGGACACCCGCTATCTCGACCAATGAGTACTCACTGTGTAGGGGGGGGGGGGGGTGCTCGATCGGATGTTGTTCATCACCAGATCACTCAGCGCTAGTGGTAGCGCAACTGTTATCCGTATCACAGTCAGTTACATCAGTACTTGGCCTGTGCGAGCAGAGCAAGATCAACCGGCTGCAGTACGCAACTGACTAGCAACTGCTGCCAGTACACACACACACACACTACACTGCATGCAGTATCTCTCGATCTCTGTGACCCTTTGAGTGAAAGGAAACGGCTAGCTCTCTCTGCTCAGGTGGTGAAAAACTGTTCAAATCTTGCAGTCCTTCTGTGATCCTTGTCAGACGAGTTTACACTTCTCTCCCGTATCGACTCTCCATCATGGCTGGTTTAGTGAAAGGCAAGGATTATGACTGGAAGGACAGTAACATGTCGCTGTTCGGTTCCGACCTGGAAAAGAACGTAGGTTGGGGTTTCTAGTGAGAACGCTCTGTGAAGGGAGACAGTTGGGGATTAGTTTTGAAAGTCTGATCGACAGCTCGCTGCTTGTGCCAGTGGCGTGCAACTGTTTGTTGGTAGAGAGAGAGAGAGAGCACCGCTGCGGGATCCTTGCCTGATGCGCTTTGACAGACATCACTTTCGTGCTGAATGTTCATGCTTTCATTTTCCGCTCTCTGCTCGCTCTCTGCTCGCTCTTCCTCACTTTTCAACATGACTCTAGGTGAAGAAAGCGTCAGCGGATACGGAAGCTGCATGGGATCACGCTGGACTGAAAGTCGGCGTCCAGGTGTGGCGCATCGAGAAATTCAAGGTGGGTGCGCCGTCAATCGTCCGTCTGGGGTTTTCTTTTGTGTGTGTGAGCTGTGACTCGGGAATAGGTTTTCACTGTTCTCTTAGTCTTAGTTACACAATGACTGAAAATTGTATATTTTTATTTGGACGTTTCTCTCGTGATTTGATATGGATAACGAGGTAGTAGTCATCTGGGCACTGGTGCTTGGGCAAACCCCAGGAGTGCATTCCTGGGTTTGGGAATCCTTTCTCGATTGCCTCGCGTGGTTTACATTCTTGGTGTTGCCTATTTTGTGCTCTTGGTCTGTGAGTATTTGACTATTTGAAAATTTAATGTTTGTGTGTTCCTCTGTCCTGCGTACTGGTAGGTGAAGCACTGGGCAGAGGAGGACCATGGCAAGTTTTACAGCGGAGACTCCTACATCATTCTCAACACGTACAAGAACCCCGACGAAGACGTAAGGTTTAACTTCGTGCTCCGTCCGCTGTCGTTGCGTTACGTGGGGTCAGCTGTTGCCCCGTTGTTTTATGTTGCGTACTGCTCGTATGTATGTGCTTTTCCATCGCTGTAGCTGTATGTGTGTACGTGTGTTCTCGACGATACATCGTGCACTTGGCCTGCTCATTAGAACACACTTTCGGGGAGGACTTCGCCTAGCACCTCGTCTGCATGCTTGAACACTTCCCCTCCCGTGTGCCTGCCTGGCACTTCCCGGCGCTGAAAGGATGGGTGCTGTTGGCGCTGGCTATCATTGGTCGCTCGCTGGGTGTTTTCTTGGAGTTTGTGACACACGCTAGAGAGGCGAACGCACTGGATCGTGTCACAGTACAACGAGCCCCCAACACTAGACTATCTGGGCACTAGCCCTCGTCTGAGATCATCACTCAGTGGACCTGCTCGTTTCATCCGGGTCAAGATCGCTTCTGGCTAGCACTACGCCACTAGCACCACTACGCCCTAGTAGTAGCAGCAGTAGAAGAAGAAGGAACGGCCACTACGTTCAAGTTTCTATCGCGTATCAGGTCTTTACCGGCACTAACTTGACCTCGTGTACCCACTAACACCTCGGTCACCTGGGACCTAGTGTGCCCACAGTATCACCTGCGGCTTGCAAGGGTGCAGAGGGAGGAGATAACGGTGGCAGTAGGCACAGGGAAGTCAGGCAAAATGCTTGATTGCTTCTTGTAAACTATTTACCATACAATATGTTGTGTGAAACATAACTCTTTACTGAGGTTGACGAAGGCCACTGTATCCAAGCTTCATTCGTATTTGACCCCCAGCGATACATAACACCTGCAATTAAGCTGGGGAGAAGATTAGCAGTATTCAGCATAGCACTTGCACTCACCACATAAAAAACAATTGAGTTACAATATCCATTTCTATTACCCAGCTAGCTCGGCGCATACTAGTATGTGATTCTATAATATATTGTACCAAGGTGGTCATAGACACGGTCACTAGACAGCCTGTGTACTCTTTACTCTCCTATTTCTAGTGATGGTCACCTTGCCTAACGCCTTGCAATGGTTTTCGAAATCATCTCTTGAAGCTACACGTTCTACATCACAAGTAGAAGTTGAAGGCAAGAAAATCCATACCGTTCTGCAGATCTAAAGAACATGGGATCTTACGAGCAGCAAACTACTTCGCTGGCTGCCTTCGACATCTGATGAATACGACACATGTCGATACAAATGAGCTGTTTGCTTGCATACTGAATCGTTTAGGAAGATTGTAGTACTTTAGTGAAAGTGAAAGTCGACTGGCTTGAGCGACTGTAAACGATGGAACGTTGTCAGTGACGAATTCACATGTCTGCGTGCGCACTTAAAATTGCAATTATGCGCACTGTCTATACTGTTGCAAGTTGATACGGTCTTGTGATTTGTCGTTCTCTCCTACTCTGCATGTTTCGGAAGATATTCCTGTACATCTGTTTATTCAGTTTTTCAAAGGATTGTTGGGATCTCCTGCACCATTACTCCTATGGTAGTTGCTGTAGATAGTGTGTGTGTGTGTGTGTGTATGCTACTGTTTGTGTTGCTCAGGATTTGGAATACGACCTGCACTTCTGGATCGGATCTAAGTCGACTCAGGATGAGTACGGCACAGCTGCATACAAGACTGTTGAACTGGACACTAAGGTAAGAGAAAGCTTGGTGTTACCTTTACCTGCCATCCCAGGTGGTGGATATGATCACGAATACAGTTGCTTCCAATCCTGCTATGCATCAACAGGATCTGTTTAGGAAGCATTATGCTCCAATGTTTTCTTCAAGCAACTTCTGTTGCGGAATGAGATCTTTTTACGGAGCGGCACTTGGTATGTGAATGTTCCCGTGGGATTTGCACGGTGAACTCTTCTGACACACGGTGTACGCCATTACTGTGTATGTATGTGCTACAGTTGAACGATAAGCCAGTTCAGTATCGCGAGGTCCAAGGCTACGAGAGCGACCTATTCAAGAAGGTCTTCTCCACAATTCAGATCTGGAACGGCGGGTAGGTCATGCATTTACACGCAATGCATTCACGTAATAAAAGCTGCTTTTTGATGGTGTGTCCAAGTTTCAAGTTCCATGATCATGAGTGCCTTGTTTCTGTAGTGCGGCACGAGCCCGTGAGGGGCTACGGAAACGCCCGAATCAGGGGTTGGACCAGGGTGGTAGCTGCTGTGCTGGTTTCTGAGCAAGTGATATTGCAAAGAGCTCGGCTCGTACACAATACACTTCACTTTAAGTTGGTGTATTCCATCTGTCGAATCTATAATTCTGCTCATGTCCCTCTTTCCCACATGTGCTCTTCCTAAATTGCTGCAGTGTCGATTCTGGATTCAACCATGTCAAGCCGACTCAATACGAGCCGCGACTTCTGCATTTCAAGGGAACCAAGGTTAGGAAGGAGGCAAAGTCTTGTATGTTGTCTCAGCTACCCGCACTGCCAGGAAAAGAATCAGGGAGCTGTGATGGTTCTTTAGCAGAATAATGGCTTGTGGTAGAAGCAATACCTGGGATATTGTACGGATCCTTTTTGGAAAAAAAATACAGTCGTGGAATGTACGTAGAGGATAGTGGAGAATGTTTCTTTGTCATCTCTACGTACACCATCAACACATAGTGCCCACATGAGGAATGATTCGATTTATTATGGTATGCCAACAGGCCTGCGTGTTACTTTGCATTACACATTCAAGTGAAATGCTCTTTGTCTCGTTTATTTGTATGCAGAAAAGTGTTGTGTGCAACGAGATAGATCTTGTGAAGGACAACGTGACGTCTGACGATGTGTTCATCCTCGATCTGGGCAGAAAGATTTACCAGGTACGTGTGCATTGTGCATATTGTGCGTTGCCTTGATCACTGGGGGTGGTGGCGTTCCTACGGATGCGGAACGCTAGGCCTCCAACCAAGTCTCGCGCAAATCATGATTTTTAAATCTTATTTTAATGCATTGCGCTTGAGTTTGCACCGCTCTTTCAAAGGCGAACAAAGCCTACGCCTATGCTATAGGGCAGCATACTGAACATTCCATCGCTAATTTGAGGATACAGGACAAAGCTATGCAGCACCAGTATGTCCGTTTCTACAGTTGCGAATGGTGTACCCTATAGCATATGTAACCTGGATAGGATCTGCACAGCATGATACAGTATAGGCTTCTTGCCAATAGCAGCAGCAAATTTGTCCATTTCAGCAAATTTGGCCATTTTCAGCAAATTTGGCCATTTTCAGCAAATTTGGCCATTTTCACACTACATACCACGATACTAAAAAAAAGTACTGTTCACGGATCGTGATTGTGGTAGGGTGTAAAAATATTATTCGATGCAACCATATTGTTCCCTCGATTTGACACTGATCTATATTTCTCGATATGAACACTATTTCCCTGTCCGCAGTTCAATGGCAAAGAGTCGAGCAAGGATGAGCGTCTGAAGGCTATGCAGTTTCTGCAGACGCTGAAGTCTGAGCGCAACGGCCGTGCAACTGTGGAGGTCATCGATGAAGCCTCAGACCGCCGACCAGCATACTTCTTCAGCCATCTAGAGGAAGGAGAAGCCACCCACCAAAGGGTGAGGCGAACTTGTCTTTTGTCTGCATGACGCTGGGGTTTCTTATCGTTTGAGATTGTCAACACAACGACAAGTACAGTGTGGCCTATATGATTTCAATGGGAACAGTCCCTGTTGAATAATGCAGGTGGATGGCTGTCCTCTCTTGCAGTGGAGTGTGCTCCTGCCGAGTCCTGGTGCTTTGTAATTGTTGCGTGGTCAAGAAGAAGAACGGCCCATTATTTCCCATCCACAGCAGTGTATAAAGAAGGACATGAAAGGTGTATGTGTGTGTGTGCGTGCGTGCATGCATAATGAGGGTCCGTGCGTACGGGATGTGTGCACAGTGCAGACTACTGTACTACTACACCAGCTATTGTATTGCATATTTGGTGATTAGGGGAATTGACTAGGTTGCTGTACTCGTGCAATAAGTGCAACTCCCCATGCACTATTTTCTCACGCGCGCTTTACTAGTCAAAACAGGGCTCTATTTGGCGAGTACGGAATTTCCATTCAAGCCTGGTTGTTTTCAATTATGTTTGACGGACTCTCTGTCCTGCTCTGTGTGTGCTGCAGAAAGACGAGGCTACACTCAAGTCATTCGAGAAGGTAATGTTCAGGTAAGAGCAAGACACGTGTGATATCATTTACCGCCTCCATAATATCTTGCTCTTTCTGCTTGGCATAACCTTGAACTCAATTTGTTGTTGGTGATTTCCGACCATCCTCTTGAAACTTCCAATGCCATCTCTGGTATGGATTTTGATACAGGCTGAGTGACTCATCCGGGGAAATGCAGTTCAGTGAAGTGGCGCGAGGCAGTCTCAAGCGTGCAGCTCTGGATTCCAATGACGGTGAGTGAATCGTAACACTTTGTTGACATATTCGGCTACCCATGCCCCACAACAGAAGGGAGCGTTTCGTTTCTTTTCTTTCTTTGATATGCTTTTCACTCAATCTGCGAGACAGGACTGTTTCAGGAGTTGGGCTATCCAGCAGCCGGTGCCCACCAGTGAGATTGCCGGCTTGCACGTGTCCATGCATTGCTGAGTTCTGCCGTACACCATGGGAACTTTTATTCAGACTGTGCATTGCGTGGATCAGGGTCAAGGTGAAACTTACTGATACTAACCCACGTTACTCCGACATATCTATTTGTTGGAGGATGGTAGCATCTGCGCATAGACTCTAGGTCCTTGTAAGCCGTGACTAATTCATGGAGCAGGCTAATTTCTCCTGTTGTCTATCTCTATTTTTCCGCACAGTTTTCATTGTGGATGGCGGTACGGAGATCTTTGTGTGGATAGGAAAGAATGCCAGTTCCGATGAGAAGAGACGTGCCGCTGAGTTTGGCCATGTAAGTGGCTGTCATGCTCTCTTTCGTTTCCTGCTGGCCGTGGTATTGGGAATGTTTTTCATACCCACTTTGCCGGAGCTGCAAGTGCGGCTTTATCCTAGAGGGAGGGGTTGGATGCGGGACACTCAGTCTAACTGAGTCTCGCACAAACTGTGAAATTGTTTAGGCCTATGCGGAGAATGGAAGGCTTTGTGAATCAGATGCTGTTTAATATTTCTAAGGAACCCTTCCTCTAGGGCACTTTCCATAGCAGCCAAATAATTGCATTGCCCATTTAGTGGTCCCACCCTGGCTTCATTCTCGCCTCGGCCCTTGAGGGTGGTGCCGTTCCACATGAATCAGAAACTCAGTCCGACAGGGTCTCACGCAAACAGTGACATTCTTTTATGACTTAGTTAGTGCTAGTATCTCCAAGTTAACTTGTTGATTGTGTTTGTGCTGAATTTCTGGACAGAAATATGCCCAGGGTAGTGATCATCCTCTTGTGCCGATCGCCAATATCAAGGAGGGAAGGGAGCCGGCTAAGTTCTTCACTTTTTTCTAGACATCCCTAAGTGACGGGTGAGTTTGGGCCTTTTTTCTTTTTCTTTTTTTCTTTTTACACAAAAACACACACCATGTGACGGCACAAAGCGGCAAGGCAGCGATGAGACATATGGAATGGCATTTGTAGTAGAGGTTTATAGGCGATAACATCATCAGTTGAGATGGATTGGCTCAGCGATGCACTAGCTCCTGCCAAACCGCAGACTCATGCCAGGGCTCTAGCCAGGTCAAAATAGTAGGGGCGGGCAGGGGAGACAGTTACCAGTCGGGGAGATGTCCTATCTAGGACATCGCACTCTGAATGAGTCTGATTGGTTACCTGTCCCAGAGTTGTCATGGAAGCGTCGGTCGCGCACACGCGATGAAAAGAAGTGCTGCGTGAGCATTTCTGAATGTATGTGGAGGATGCACGATCGTAATGGCGATGGATTTCTTTCCGAATTGGTCAAGTTTGAAGGAATAGGCGGAGAATATCAGACATCGGCGGGGATTGAGGTAGTGTATATTCGATTCGCCATCGAACACCCGACCGAATGACCGTTTTCGTTTGGGGATTTCATGTGGGGTTTCTCGTAGCCACGCGGCGCTTCTTCGGAAACGATTGGTTCTAATTAGTAATTATTTGAATGTTTTGCCTTTGGAATGTTTCTTCACGCCCCGTGCGTTCATTTCGCCCCAAACCTGGCCATGCAGAGGAGGAAGACGAGGCAGCAGGCGCTAGGCGCGTAAATCACTACCTGGAAGATATTATTTGGCCAAAGCTTGCTGTTGGCGTTTTTGATTTCTTGGATACGACAGCTCTTGCGGCTAAAACTGGACCTTGGACGGTCTTTCTTGGATATCAACCCAGGACGTGGTGGTCATGGACGTATCGCCATCGCTTTCAGCCAGATCCTTCTGCTGCCTGAAACCAATGGCGAAAGTAAAAGCTTTATCGCAGCAGCAGCTACTGCTCTGCTGAAAGTGCGAACACAAATTGCTTCGCCAATCCTCTTGTGCACTTGCAATTTTCAATGCGACCAAAACGATTCGCTTGCCAGTTCCTTTGTCCAGGCGTACTCCACAACAAGGAAAATAAAATTCGTGAAGGCAAGAGGCAAGATACGAATCTCGACTCGCTTGAGGCAAGCCGCCAGGAGAACGACAACTAATTGCTTTTGAGACGAAAGGCCTTCGTTGCGCTTGAGTGCGACATGTTCATCTTCCTCGGCCGCGACACAAAGTTTTGAGTCACGTGTCACGATTACTATGGGAACAGCATAGTATGTATGCTGGGGCATGCTGGGTTCCGTGATGTCCTATCTAGGACATCTCCAGGACTGGTTACCCCATATACCATTTTTCCTTTTTTTCCAATATTGTCTTGCCACACTAAATGCAACGTATGGGGCGAATCCCCGACTTCACCCCAGACAAATGTGCCTTTATGAACCATCTAATAGTGACTTTCGACTGCATTTTTCGTTAAATTGCGTGGAAACACGAAAATCGGTAAGTGAGTAGGGGGCGGCGTTTTTTCACCGGGGGGCGGCGGGGGGCGCTGTGCCCCTTACACCCCCCCCCCCCCCCCTGGCTAGAACCCTGCATACTGTATACGTAGGGCTACCATAAGAGAATTCGCTGACTCACGCTGTGTACGTAGTGCCTGTAGGAGAATTTGCTAGTGACATCATTTTCGTAACCTCAATAGCACACATCATCAGCAGATACATGTCTCACGTCATGGGTACCTGTATTATGGTCGTATCTTACTCCAGAATGAGTCCAGATGCATGCGTGCTAAATGAGTGGGTATTCTTGTACAGGATGAGTCATGCCCAGATCGAGGAACTGCTATACATGTGAAATTCACAAATGTCCTCTGGCACAGCGCCGCATTGGTCATGCATCTATAGCACGCGAATACTGTATGGCAGTGTGATAGGGACTGTACTAGATACTGATTCGATTTACTGCATGTGTGTGTGTGCGTGCGTGTGTGTATATGTGTGTGTGTGTGTGTGTGTGTGTGTGCGTGCGTGTGTGTGTGTGTATGTGGTGTGTATGTATGTGTGTGTGTGGTGTGCACGTGCGTGAGCACTTGTGTGTATGTGCACATGTGTGTACATGCGTACGTGTGTGTACATGTGTACGTGTCCATGTGTGGCAGTGTCTGAACGTGTGTATATGTGTATCAATGGGACTGTGTGTATTTCCATCTCAGATAGTGTGCCCTCACGCACAGATATCATGTCCAGTGAGTAGTGGCTCTTGGCTTGTAGTTTCCCGGATTTTTCTGCAGCATGGTTACTGACTGGTCACAGCTTCTCCCCAGCCCCTTCTCCTCGTCTGCTCTATTATTCATTCACAACTCCCTATTGCTATCAAAGGAAGTGTGGCACCCTTGGTTGGGAAAACTGTAACAGTTGCCTTCCCCTTTTCTTGTGCTCACAGCCATTCAGCCCTTACAGGAGTCGTATGCCGATTTTCCTATCATTGAATTTTCTAGAAATTGTTTTCAATCTTAGCTGGCCCTATCTATATGCCACTAACATACCTGCTAAACTCCAACATGCAATGTAGTCTTCTCTGTCACAGTCGAATAATACCGTCGTAACTGACTGTGTCACTGAATAAAACATTGACTACAGAGCGAATTGATGGTTGGTTCCGTGGGAAGCAGATCGGGGGTGGAATCATGTGCTTGTGCATGTACAAGCTGCTCTTGTTCACGTGTTCGCATGATGTCCACACACTTGGACATTCTCCTTGGGAAGCACAAGAGTGCTGCACAAGTAACACGTTAGTTGGTCTTTTATAGGGCTCAAACGATTAGTCCGATTAACCGGTTGCAGACCGGTTACGAAGAATTGACGGTTAACCGATAAAGATAACGGTTACGCAGTAACTTTTCAGTCAATTTTTCAAGTATCAGGTCGTTGCAAAGTGTGCACTTTCGCGGGCTGTCGCACGCGTACGCAATTTCTGAGCTGTCAACTGGTCATACATGTATCCAAGAGTACATAACCTCCCAGAGTGTGCAACGCCGATCCAGCTCTGCATAGGGTCTTGGTCGAGCGGAATCGGATCTTCTGATGTCATGCGTACACTCCACACCAGCGCAAGGCCGGTCTCGAGGCAGGGCACCATTGTTTTTGATCCAAGAGTACCCGCGACTCCCCGGGTTCCCCTCAGATGTGTACGGTATTATGACGCAAAGATCCGATTCCGCTCGACCAAGACCCTATGCACAGCTGGATCAGGCGTTGCACACTCTGGGGGGTTATCATGGTTATGTACTCTTGATGTATCTGGTCTCTTGGTGTGAGCAATGAGCATGCAAGAGAATGACTATGTACAAGTGTGCGTTGTACTGAATAGGGTACATTTTTTGAATGAGTATAGTCAAATATACGGTTAAAAAAGAGTCCGCAAGATTGCGGTGGCTTATAGGTTATAACCGGTTAACCGACCGTTAGCTTAGCAGTTAACCGTCAGGGGTAAAACCGTGACCGTTTGAGCCCTAGTCTTTTATTGTGCTCCCGGGTTTATGTGCAACACTGATCATTGTGTCGTCATAGCACTGCAATGCACTGGCCAACAGTGCATGACCAGCAGTTGAGACTTGGGTGTCTTTGATTGCACGTATTAGCACTAGATGCAAAACCGATTCCCACCACTCAGATATCCAGGCGAGCTTCTGAAATACATGTACCGAATACGGTATTATGATTATCCCAACTTTCATTCTGCTCCGGGTCTCTAATTTTTCCAGCAGTCCTGACCCTAAGCTTCTGTTGGAGAGTGTGCCTATATTCTCACCCAATACTGTGCAATTTATCATAATTATGCCATGGTAGAGATCGGATGACGCCTGGTCATGGGGTGGTGGCGTCCCACGGAAGCGGACAGGTGGTTCTTGACCAGGGAGTTGTACGACTCCTTGTTATTGACCTGGCCGGTACGCGAACCCGTCGTATTTATATATATTTTTATTAGAGATGGGATATCGTTGGGTATCGTTGGTGGTTATTGTACTTTGAAGAAGCACAGTGCTGCTCAATGAAATCCATTCGCCTCACTGAAGTACGCGCCAGGCGGGGCGCACCCCATGCAAGACTGCGAACACCGGGCTGAGAAATGGTGCAAGGTGCAAACTTGACCTCGCATAACCAGCCAGTGAGACATCTTGTATGTCGAAAGGGAGACAGTGACAATAGGGGAATCTGCGGGTCCTATCCTGGATTTTCCGGAGCAAAAGCTGCACTTTCACTTTTCAACGCTCCAAAATCCACCCAAAAAAGGAGAGGGGGGGGGGGAGGGTTAGGCACCGGCGGATTCTGCTCGAAAAGGTGGCAGATTCTGCTCGAAAAGCAGTGAAATTGGCAGAACCATACAAACCTTATGGCGGGCAATTCCTCGAATTCTGCTCCATTTCTTTATCCACATACCAAACATACATGAAACCAAGAGTACATAACCCCCATAGAGGTTGTGCAGGCAGTTGCACACTCTTGGTGGTTACATGTATGTACTCTTGATGAAACTTACCAGAAAAAGTACCGAATTCTGCCAATTTTCTGCCGGCATACATATAAATACCAAAACAAATAATGACCTTGTTTCCGGTCGGCCGATCGGGCCACTTTTTCCCGAATTCTGAAACTTTTTTTGGTCCCAAATGTATACAAACGGTGGCAATGCCATGTGTGCAAGTGCACTCGACGAGTCGCAACTCAGTCAAATCTCAACCGAATTCCACAATCGAAACACCTACAAGGTTGCAGAGATTCTCAGTTGTCGGCTCGAAAACCTCCGGGGTCGATACGAGCTAGAATAACGGAGCTGGAAGGACTCGAACTGTTTGCTAGATTTCTCAAGATGTACGAAAACAGGAATACACCACAATCATGCTGTACAAGAACAGTGAGTCAGTCAACTAATAATTACTTACTTTGACATTGATCCTTGCCATTGTATTTGTATTTATATCATTATCTCATGGCACATCATGATGACGGCCAATAAAAACTGAGACAAGGGTGAAAGCCAACCACAGCAGTAAAACAGATAAAAGAATACAAATAAGAGGCAAAGAAGGCAACGGAGGAGACAAACCAGCAGGATGTACATGAAACCTATAATTGAGCAGAGATTTTAGCAACAAAATTATCCATCGACGTGCTGGTCTTGGCCTGCGTTGGTAATGTTGCCCAAAACACCCCCCCCCCCCCCATGATAATACATGTACATGTATGTACAATGTACTGTGTAGGTGCTCTTGTCCATCAATACCACGATTGAGGAACCAAAAAAATGTATCCAAAAAAAGTTTCATTCCGGCTTACCGATCCGACATGCCGAGTCTCCTTTTTGAAGGGTTGCCGACCGGAAACAAGCCTATTACAGTACCGGTATTATTATTTTTGGCCTAAAATAATAATGAACAGCCTAGCTAGAAAAATTCAAGTCATACCATAAATTAATGCTGAATGTTCCAGAATGGTCCTTTAGTTTACTCAATAATACCTACATGTATAGCCTCGGGGCCGGGTATGCCTTGAAATACGAAATATTTATACCGAAACAGAAACACAAAATAAGAATAAGCGCAAAGCTCAAAGAACAGAGTCAGAGGCATGTCAGTGAGGAGGGGCATTGTGCTTTGGTGTCAGAGAAGTGCGTGCAAATGTGACTGCGAAACAGGGACTGCGAGGCCGTGGCTCTCAGGTCTGCGGGCAAGGCATTCCAGACAGATGACCGGTATATGCAAGCAGGGAGTAGTTACTAGTACAATACCGGTATTGTACTACTCCCTGTATGCAAGCATTGCTTCATAGGTTGGTCATGCTGTCATCGTAACACAACATACGGTAATACCAAGAGTAGGATATTGGCGTTGGCGGATACCACTGGATACAGGATAACAAGGACTAGCCACAATTTCAAGCAGGGAGTCGTAAAAACCAAAAGGGCACATGCACACACTTCGCTCGTAGATCTACGGACGTACACACGTAGACCAGGTACCCCGGGTCTACGCAAAAGGCCTTTCTTGTACGAGTACTCTGCAGATCAATCTTGCGCATGGCCTAGCCTGGCTAGCTTGACATGAGACAGCAAGTTTTTTTAGTACCGCGTACCGGTACGAGCGTAGATCTACTCATGCTTTTTTCATAATTATTTTGGTCGAACATGAACCATGTCCGGCAACGACCAACACGAGATCTCGAGAGTCGAGGTTTCCTTTTTCGGGTGCTTTGTTTCAACCGGTTGGCGATGATCTTCTCTGGCCGGAAGGGCACTGGATCAAGGAAACACTTTGACTTAGCAAGCAAACCTGGAGCGTCTAGTGTGTATTATTCTCAATCTGTAGGAGTGCGTTTTCAGCTACTGTCGAAAGTACAGAAGTTCGACTGCGCCCTCTGGAGTGCTGTAAAAAAAATTACTAGCAATGTCGGGTGATCTCTCCGATGCGGAGGCCAGGCGCACTTGTGTTGCGTGCCAAAGTGCACCCGCGGATTGTCTCAAGATACTGCACTGCATGCACGTGATGTGCGTTGACTGCGTAAGGGAACACGTTAGCCAGGATGGTACCGTGTCCTGTTTCAAATGCTTGCAAGTTGGCGGCTCAGCTGTTCTTGGAAAACGACTGGAAGACTCCATGGTTGACTGGCCGATGACTGAACGGAAACCCAAGGCCGAACTGGATAACAGCGAAAGTCCAGAAGCGGACGAACGCGCTGAACAGTCCATTATGTGCCAGAAATCGGATTGCGAAGGAGAATTTGAGCCGGCCGTTTCGGTGTGTCTTGACTGCGGAGTGCATATGTGTGCAGATCATGGAAGGCTGCATATGAAGCACAAGGCTTTGACTCGTGGACACCGAGTTATACCCATCTCGTCTGCTGCACCGGCCCAGGAATCAGATACCCGCTCAGAATACAAGTGTCCAGTGCATCCACAGCTGGCCGTGACGTCATACTGCAACAAGTGTGAGATGCTAATGTGTGAGCGCTACTGCGAGCGAATCCACATGAACTGCTCCGAGGAGGTTGAGGGAATTCAGACAGTAGCAGAGAGAAAGCGAGAACACTGGACGGCACAACTAAGTGCCTGCAGCGATACCTGGCGCGAGAAACTCAGCAACACACGGAGCAGCATTGACGCATACACTAAAGATATCAATGATAAAGTGAGGGAGTTATCGGAGAAGATCACTGCCGATTTTGAAGCGTACATCAAGAACATGCAGGAAAGACAGCAAGAAGTGCTAGATGACTTAGACGCTGCCCGTTGGAAAGCACTGCAGCGATTGGAGAAGCAATCAGAGACCGTCGACACAAAGTGTTTTCAGCTGGATAGCTGTGAACATCTAGTGCGTAACCTTGGCAACAGTAGCCTACTAGCAGCAGAGACGATTCTGGACCCATGCATCAACAATATCGTCGATGCAAACCACGAGTCGTCCGGCAAGTCTGATATTCTGCCAGATACAGACTTGACATTACAAGTGCGCTATTCAGAGTTTGCTGGAGATGAAATCGACCATGTTTCCAGCCTAGGCGAGTTGATTTCTACTTCAGGTTTGGCTAGAGCAAAGCCAGTCTTCGTCCGTCCCGCTGTCCACACGTTCAATTGCGATGCTTCGG